GAATCGCGCTGTCTCCCTCCTCTATGCTAGCAGGCTCCATTCAGATAAAGGGAGCTGGCTAACTAGCTTGCTGTATGGTGGCCTACATGGCTCAATTCTACAGCGGCCGAACTTGGAGTAGGAGCGGAAAAAATATAAAACTTAAAACGCATTTTAAAATTGATTTTTGGTCCTTTAGAAACGATTCAGAATCGCCAGGACTAAGAATCTAGATTCATCGAAAAATCTATTTTTTTCTGCACCCCTATTCTCTGTACTTCTCCATCAGCATCTTCAAAGCAAAGATGGTGTATGAGGGGCTCTTTCTTGGCATTAAATCTTACTGCTGTTCACAAATGGTCACCTCTCGTGATCTTCCACAACTCTCTCCCAGATCTTCGTGTGGCTCACCAACTTAATTCCTAGTTGCTACAACTCTGTGCATCACCCTTGTTCTTACAAATGGGCACCAGCACACTTCTCCTCCATTCCTCAGGCATTTTCTCACAAATATACCATTGAATATTTGAGTCAAAACCCTCACTGCCATCTCTGACATTTCCAAACCTCCACTGGTCATCAGATCCTACTGCCTTCTCCTTCTTCATTCTTTTGAGAGCTTTCTGAATTTCACCCTCACTAATCTTTCCCACTTCCTGGTCCACAGTTTCTATGACCTCTACTCTACTTTCTTTTTCATTAACTTCATTCATTAGCTCTTCAAAATACTCCTTCCATCTTCCCGTCATACCCTCCTCACTTGTTATCAAGTGACTCAAGTTTATTATTCAAAGTATGGTATTGGTAGTCAAATAAGAAAAAGTTACACACACTAGTTAATAAAGAAGTCAACATAATCATCACAATTAAGTTTATTTCCATTCACTCCTTCTGGGGAATCTCTTAAAGGGTGCCCAAATGTGTGTACAGTATTGTGACACGCATCCTCATTCATCAGGTTACATGGTACTTTTACAGGAATAATAGCCGGGGATTCCCCCACCCCACATTAAAAGCCAAAAGCTACACCCTTAACATGGTAGACAAAACTTGGAATTTGCAAAGACAGTTGTTGAAAGGTTATTGTACTAGTTAGCAGCAGCTTCCACAAGACAGACAAATCCAAACATTTACTCTGGTAATTTGTTTCTCCTATAATTTTTATTTTCTGTAGAGTAGTGGTTCTCAACTGTTTGGGGAGGATTGTGCCTTCTTTTCCAGAGAGAGAAGTATTTATCCTTCATACAGTCTGCTGTCAGTAATCAGACACACACACAGGCCCTTATCTTTACTGTAAATCCTACAGTAAGGTATCTTTCACGTCTTTGATTTGAAGCTGCCTTTTTTGTTTGTCTACATTTTCGTGCAGGTGTAGATCAACAGGAAACTCATCTGTTGTTCACCCCTGATTTTGGGTAACTCCTGCTTCATACTCTTTTCTGCTTCTGATCACTTCTATATCTAGTTCATGCACCGGCTGTTCAACCCTCTGCAGTGCCCAGCATGTGCACCATCTCCTATGGTCCATCACTAAAACACGTCCAAGTAGAAACAATGTCTAAACATTGATTTTGCTTGCAATATTTTAGGCAAAAAATAAAATAAAATAGGAGGGATCTCTCCCTCCCTGTAATGCCCCCCCCCCCCCAATCCCCCAGGGGTTGTGCCTCATTGTTTGATAACCTGAGAGGATCACAGATCAGACACTTTGAAGCACAGGATTTGACATTATTCTTGTAAACGGTTGTCTCATCTGTCAGGTTTACAAACGGTGTTTTAAACAACAGTTGGTGTGAATGCTCTTCTGACGGGTACTTCTGATCACCTGTCATGTGTAAATGCTGCTGCAAAAGGTCTAAATGCATCCATAAACACCTGCTAATGATATAAAAAGTTGAAAACTGTGATTTTGAAGGCAGCTCTGTTTGTTGCTCTGATCAGTTTCATGGTGCTACATGACTCAATTTACACTCAAACTTTAAAATGAGGTTATACACAAATTACACGCCTAATGCCACTTGTTAGTCATGTTGAAGCAAAGCATTTTGTCTGAATTTAAGCAGAGTAAAAGTTACACTGTATTGGAAATCTTAAACATGGCACACAACATTTTCATTGGTTGGTGGTCTCCATGAGCCCTCCCTCAGCGCTTGACAAAAGCAGGCACCGGTTTTGTGCAGGAGTCTGAGCTGAAAGGGGTAGAAACAGAAAAGGCTGGTGCTGAGCGAGCTCTGGCTCTGGTTTAACACTGGTCGCATTTGGTGAGGAAAAACCCTTTGTTCTCATCTCGATCCTGCAGATGGACATGTCTGAGCATGTTTCAGGGTAGCTGAACTGGTGAAATAAAAAGTGAGTCGGTTATCTTTCAGTCTCTAAAAACACATTTTTATGTTTTCACATGTTTTCTACATTCTCAGAACATATCCCTTTTACTTAAACTGAAAGTTCAAAGCTCTTTCTTTTTATGAAACAAGTAAACTTCTCTAAGAAATCATCATCTTGGTAACAACATTAAAGCTGGAGCTGATGTCTGGGCAGCAAACTGGACAGCAGCAGCCGTGATGTAATCAGAGATAATAGTCTAGTGTGAACAGGTTCAATGTGTCTTGAGTGTCAGTTTAAGTGTGAAGATGGTGAGCTCTTCTTCAATTACTAATCTAAAGTGGCCCACAAGTCATTATTTGCACAATGAAAATTACTATAGTTCACCACCACTGGTCTCTGCTACAAACTGATTTGTAGTTGTGTTGCTTTGTTCCTAGTTTATATAATTGCAACAGTCCGAAGTTGCCCTTGAGAGCAAACTAGCTGCCTTTGATGCTTAAATCTGTGCTGGCAGTGGTGAGCATGAGTCATCCAGAAGCCTACACACATGTGCCATGCTTAGGAATTATTATACCACTGTCAAGAAAACAGTATTGTCGGTTTCTTCATTATCTTGAAAAAAAAACAAAAAAAAAAAACTAAAATAATGTTGTTGTTCTTTTTTTTTATGTTTGCTTGAGCAAATATAATTTTTACTCCATTACACTCAAATGTTTCATCTTCCTTCAGTGTGCAAACTTGTTCAACAGAATAGGAAATTATAAAAAATCCAGCAAAAAATTGATTGTATGCTGTGGTGGTCATGCTAACACACAACGCTGCCTTTGTTTCCGTTAGTCCCATTGTTTTATAGTTGCTGCAGAGAACAAGAAAAAGTTAAGATATCAGACCTGTGTCTTTGCAAGCAGACATGGCTTTATGTAATTGTTTACATAATCTCCACTGGCATCGTCTGCTGGGCTGTGGGTGGTGATGCTGTCGTGACCACATACTATGGCTTAAGCTTTGTGTTGAAGCTCAAACTGGTTGCTGTGTTTGCTGTGACCACTGTGGCTTTGCTATCTTTTAAGCCCAGCAACACTTTCACAGCAAAGCTACCTCTGCCCTTGTTTTTTTCGGGGTGGCTGTGGCTTTGTGGTTAGAGCAGTCGTCCTCCAATGCGAGAGTTGGGGGTTCGAATCCACCAGCAGTCACATGCTGAAGTGTCCCTGGGCAAGACACTGAACCCCTCATTGCCTCTGATGTGTGTCCCATCAGTGTATGAATGTGATAAAGCTCTGATTAGTCTCATTAGAATAATTTGTTCAATTAGCTTTGAGATCTAGTAGAGTGCTGTATGAATGGGTAAATGAAGACACAGATAGTGGTGTAAAGAGCTTTGAGTATCTTGAAATAAGAAAGAAAGGCAATTAAGGTAATTTAATTTTGACTATTATTGAGTGAAATTTTATCTTATTGTGGCCTTAAATTTAGAAAACGTAATGACGTGACAGTTATTAACAAAAATGACTGCTGGGGGACTCATGAGTGTTTGATAGTGGTTATAGTTTGACAATTAAAAAATGGAATAATCAAAATATTTCTTTTACCTGTGATTCCTTATGTGACAACCTAACAATACATTTCAGGGGTCGACCTAAACGGTTTCTGTTTGTCCGAGACAACCTACTGGTATTTTTGGCTCGGACAACCAGATCTCGCCTCAATCTGGTTGTTCGTTGGACAGCCAAGTGAAATCGACGTGAATTAAAGTTCTCAGTTGCTGCAACGGATTTTTGCAATTTTGAACATCTGTAAAAATGGGGGGGGGGGGGGGGGGAGACACACGTGTTTTGTTGTGATCTTGTTGAATCCATCCTGTCTAATGATACAGGGATTAAACTGACACTGCTTTCAACAAATAAAGAGAACTAGAGCCACAGTTTTAGCAGAACAGGGTGCGTCATGCGTGCTGTCTGGTTCACGGCAGATGTGCGCTGTGTTCCCAACTTGGAGACAGACTGCAGGTGAGAACACCAATCTGATATAAATACACTGAGAATGCCTCACTTGCAAAATCTGATGTCAAATAAGAGGAGGAGGAGGAGAATGAGGAAGTTCCACTCCAGTAGCTCCTGAAAGAATCCTCCACTCAGGAGCTTAGAAATTCCAAGCATGCCACAAGATGGCTGACTGAGAACATTTGTATACCGTATACTTTGTATGTCGTGCAAAGCAATATATTTATTAAATTAAAATTTTCTTGAGATTTTTTGCCTTCTTTACTGTAAAGGTTGTGGACCACCAAAAATGTTGGTGGATAACCCTATTCTGTGAGTGTCTGCTGGAACGACCTCGAAATGTTCCTCATGTCAACCCCTGCCTTTTATTCTGGGACTGAATGACTCATCTCTAAATGAACTTTGCTTAAACCAGTATCTCGCTGGGCTGCAGTGATTGGCAACTAATTAGCTAACAGCATCTGTAAGGAAGCCTCCCAACATGTTTCGAAACATTCTTAGAGGTTCTCTGTTTTCACACAAGTTTTAGACGTGTTCAAAAAATTTGTGCGACAAACTCTTTGAAATCAATTCATCTGATGTTTTGTGTTGTGTGCTCTTCAAAGATTTTTCTTCTCTCTGATTGTTTGTTTGTTACAGGTCTTCACACTCTTTTCGTGGCAAATGTCGAGGCCTGTCATCTTTTAGAGTCGACAGGGTGAGGTCAGGGAGGCGTGTGGATTAGCTTGCCACCCAGGTGCCACCAGTAACCAGGGCTGTGGCTGCAGTGGTGGGCCCGGCCCAGGAGGCCGTTTTGTACATCACTCGAGGCTCCTGCTGACTCGTGCTGCACAAATCATGGACCCACAAAGAGAGAAATATGGCGAGCGGCCAACAAGAATTGTCAAAGTTTCCCAAGGAAGTCGAAGTGGACACTCGTCCCGACCATCTGGCTCCTCAAGCACCTCTGGGGTCCTCATGGTGGGACCAAACTTTCGTGTGGGGAAGAAGATTGGTTGTGGAAACTTTGGTGAATTGAAGCTCGGTACGTTACATTTAAATCTTGAACTAAGGTTGGAAAGTTTGCAGGAAATTGAAATAAACATGTATGCAGTTATAAATTATGTCTTATTTATTAATGCTAAATCACATATGTCCTTACTCTTATCTTGTTTTAGGCAAGAATCTCTACACAAATGAGTATGTAGCTATTAAACTGGTAAGTGCTCACCTGCCTTTCCATCTTCTATAATAATAATAATAATGTCATCACAATGTCAGCACTGTATGTTTCCATACAATGGCGAAATTAGTCTCTGCATTTAACCCATCCACCACCAGGTGGTGCATCTGTAATACACTGAATATCCATCCATTATCGTTACCCGCTTCTTTTTCGGGTCGCGGGGGTCACTGGTGCCCATAACAAGAAGTCTGTGTGAGAGGCATTGAATACAATACGTAACTTGAAATTTTACATATTACACTTTGAGGAAAAACCTTTGCCTCATTCAGGTTGAAATGGTTGCTGTATGCGACTTCACCGACTTTAGAAAGAACGCGAGTGATGTGTACATGCTTGTCTAGTGTTGTTTATAGACTGGAATATGTTTCGGCTAATTGGGGAAGGGAAGTTTGAGATTGTCACCATTGTATGTTCCCATACAATAGCAAAATCAGTTCTCTGCATATAACTTGTCACACATGAGATACACCCAGGTGGAGCAGTGGGCAGCTATGTAAGTGCCCGGGGAGCAGTTAAGGCCCCCCACATACCCGGGCATACTTCACTCTGTGGAGGTCCACACGGACTCGAAGCAGACTCAACGCAGACTCTGCGCGGACATCCCCAAGCCATATCCGCGCAGAGATCAATTTTTCCGTACATGTACTGTGTCGCACAATAAACTGCCTGGCAACAGACTGTTTTGTATGCGACACCAATGTATTAAATTCTCCTTCTTCATCTCTGGTCTGGTTTAATGGCCTTTTCTTTTGTTTTTTTGCCAAGAGGCAAACGATCTCTTCCTCCTCGTCTGTTGACGCCATGACTGAAATGGTGAGAAATGGAGGAATTTGTCACGAGATAATTAAAATCATGTCCAACGTGGCTGCAGGAGGGTCTGGAGATTTCCTGGTGGGCCGCTCTGATGTGTGGGCTGCAGGGCCAGCGCTCCTTGTTTTTTATTTTTATTTTTTTTATTAACAACATATAAACACAGAGCACCACTGCCGCTGCTCCCTGCCTCTAGCTGCTGGCAGCTCTCGTTTTTTATTTTAATTTATTTTTTAGCAACCCGTCAATCAATCTAGTAGGCATATTGGCAAATGACCAATCGGCAACCTCAGTTTGTCCCGAAGGTAAACGCCCCTTGCCTGCAGAGCTGGGCTGCAACCCATCAGGGTGTATGCTCGAGTGTGAAGTTTCAACCATCTGCGGACAGTGTGTGCAGTGTCCATGTGGATGTGGCTCACGGAGTACACACAGTACATCGGAGTACGTGGGAGCCTTTAGTGATTGGATGTAATGCTCAGACACTACAACATACGGGAATGGCTGGGAGTCGAACCACGACTTTCTGGTCCCAGGTCGGCTGCCCTACCTCTACACCGTCTCGGTCCCTAACACCCTTTATGTTGGTGATAATAGTAGCGATTTGTGAGTAAACTCGTCAAACCAAATGTAACCTGCCATCATTCTTTTTGATGATGTAGTTGGTTGTTGATTTGTTTTTGTTTTTTTATGACATGGAATGTGAATTATAAAAAAACTTGAAAATACTTCCCATTTTACATAAAAATGAGATGGCTTTTTTTTTTGTAAATGAACATAACAGTAAAATAATAAAACCATAACAATGTGTTTTTAAAGTTTGTTTCTCACATGAATAAATGTGTTGTGCAGGAACCAGTGAAGTCGCGGGCCCCACAGCTGCATTTGGAATATCGGTTCTACAAAAGCCTCGGAACCACAGGTGAGGTCACAGATTTGGTTTTCACTCTTGTTAGTGTTTATACTCACCCACATAATGATTTCTTTGTTTTGGAATAACAGGCCAGAGATTGCATCATTTCCACAACAAGTGATTACTCAGCTCAGGTTTCATGCTTGTAAAAGGCCGGTTCGGCAGCTTGTTTTCATCTCTAGAACAGAATATACAGAAGTGCATGAATGTTTAAATGCAAGTTTAGTTTGTTGAACCGTGTACTTTCTAGAAAAATAGACTCAATAAGGGTATAATTAAGGTTTTGACGTTAACTTATTAACCTTCATAACAAATGTAGAGCTTATTTCCTCATATTTTGACGGACACTGTGTGGCCCTGCAGCTTGATTCACTGTAGAAGGCCACTTTAGAAGAAGTACCTTGGTCATAATGTGTACACGTGAGAACTAATGATAAAAACTACCAACCAACAAAAAGGGCATTAGGGGCCGAGATGGTGCAGAGGTAGGGCAGCCGACCTGGGACCAGAAAGTCGTGGTTCGACTCCCAGAGGACCAGATTGAGCTTTTTTAGATTTTTCTACCTGGATTATTGAGCATGCATCAGGATGTTCTAAGCTATGTTCTTGTCTAAATGGTTGAATAAAAATAAATACTGGTGATTCATATGAAGCCATCTCAAGGTGATTGTTGGTGAGACGATGGTTGTTTGTAGGTAATTTAACCAGCACTTGCTTTATAAAACTGACACCACAGGAACACATAAAAGCTGATTTACTATAATTTATGACCCTTCATGAGATTTTGGAGCTTCACGTGCATATATGATAACCCAACTGGGAGTTTTATCGCTATTGTTTTGCAAATGCAAAGGCTGGAAAAGGCCAACTGTGCGGAAACTCATTAAATATTTAGAGAGCGTGTCTGCCTCTCTTAGTACTAACGTACCTCTGTCCTCTCCAGATGGGATAATGTGACCTCATTTTTCTTGGTTATGTGCTGAGCCACATTCCTTTCAGCCAGTGATGTTGTTAGTGTCTGTGAAACAGTGTTTTTATAAATTCATGTGGCTTGACTCAGAGGCTCAGTCAGCTGTTGTTCTCTGATGCGTGACCATACTGGATATTAATGAAATTTATTTAGATCCTTCCATGTTTTTTTTTTTTATTACACAGCAAGAGTTAAAAAGCTGCATAGATTTAACAAGATGTTTAAAAGATAATTGTTTTTCTAAGTAAAAACTGTTTGAGAATGAAAAATGTGTGTTACTGGGAGTGTTGACACTACTGAGCTGATAAATGTATTGGCTGGCAGTTCTTGTCATGAAACTCTACACCATCTCCATAACCATTGCAGCACTAATACATAAACACTTCTCAGTATGCAGTTTTGCTTAAGTAAAAAAAAAAGGATGTGTGGAACCTGAGAGCAGTATTTTTGTAGAGTTTAAGATGTAAAGCTCCACCCTGTTTTCAATCCTTTTCTGTTAAAAGCAGAGTTTTAAACTTTTAACTGAAGTTTTCTGACCATGTTTTGACATTTTTGTCATTTAGATCAGTGATGCTCACTTTTTTCTCTCTCTCTCTCAAAATAGCCATATTGACGTCAAAGTCGAGGGGAGAGCCACGATATCACCCCAAGTCACTCAAATAAAAGAAAAAATGAACAACCCACGTTACCCACATATGAACACAAAAGAAACGCAGTCAGCACATTATCTGTTTAAACAAAATTAATTCAACCTTTATTTAGACAGGTTAATCCCATTGAGCCTCGAGGACTCATTTACAAGAGAGACCTGAATGTACCTTAGTACTGAGATGATCGGAAGCTGTGGTGCATGTCCTTGACTTTCTTCATGTTGTATTTGTAAACTGTTGTTGCAAACACAGTGAGGCATTCAAGATGGGCATGGGTCAGTCGGTTTCTCTGTTTTTGCTTGATAATGTTCATGGTTGAAATTGTTGACTCACAGGTGTAAAAAGTTCAGCTTTTAGCGATTACCCCAATCCCATGAAGAAAACACCAGTCAGCAATAACAATGAATTCCAAAGTCCATGCTCAACAATGAATATGCTGTAACGTGTGTATGGATAAAGATGCCCTCTTCACATTTCCGCCTGCCCCCTCATGTAACCATGCTAGAACCGGCCCTGTAAGATGCTCCTACTTCCTTCACCACAGGTGACAGCAGGTGCGGAGACGCGTGCGGCCGGTAGCTGATCATCTGATATTAACGGGACATTTTTTACATCTTTTTACCCACGGCGGGTGAGCGAACGCGTGCAGTCTGTGATGATCAGCTGATCCATCTGAAGCTTAACAGGACTTCTTTTTTTACCTCTGGTCGGACCTGCCTCCTCCTGAACAAGTAGATTAACACAATATTATTTGTAAAACCGCATTGAAGAAGCCCGAGCCGACATGCGCCCTTTATTGCGCAATGCGCCAGCACGTTTTAAAAATGTATTGGCTGTGCTGGCATGTTGTAACCTGTCACGAGAGCCACCACTAAAGCATGGTGAGCTGCATGTATCATGGAAAAGTTGTTTAACTTCCATAATTCCATTCAAAAAGTTTCTCTTTAATAGATGATAGATTCAAGGCCCACAATTTAAACAATTTCAAGTATTTATTTATTTTTACATAATTTGGACTTCCAGCTCATGAAACCCATGAAAACAGGATTTCAAAAAATTTGAATACTGTGAAGACATCAGCCCACACTTCTCAGTTTTTGCAGAAAAAAAGAAATAAATTAGGATCACAACAAATCAATCAAAATATGGTTCTTTCAAAATGATGTCAATCTTCAATACTTGGTTGGGAATCCCTTTGTCTTAATCACTGCCTCGATGTGACGTGGCATTGAGGCAATCAGCCTGTGGCATTGACTGGGAGTTATGGAAGCCCAGATTTCCTTGATGCTTGCTGTCAGCTCTTTGTTGTTGGGTCTGGTGCCCCTCGTGTTCCTCTTGAGAATAACCCATAGATTCTCAATGAGGTTTAGGTCCAGTGAGTTGGCTGGCCAGTCAAGCACTGTGGCATGGGCATCAAACCAGGTTTTGGTGCTTCTGGTGGCATGGGCAAGGGCCAGGTCCTGCTGGAAGATGAAATCTGCATCTCCATACAGATCCTCAGCAGAAGGAATCATGAAGTCCTCTAAAACATTCTGGTAGACTGTTGCGGTGACCTTGGATTTAAGAAAGCAGAGTTTACCAACACCTGCACTGGACATTGCACCCCAAATCAGGACTGACTGTGGATATTTCACACTGGACCTCAAGCAGTATGGGTTCTGTTCCTCACCCTTCTTCCTCCAAACACTTTGACCTTGATTTCCCAATAAAAGACACACTTTACTTGGTGGTTTTTGAAGCTGTGACTCCCGCCTCATTCCACTCTTTCTGGATCTCTGACAGATTCTGGAATCTTCTCTGTTTGATAATTTGATGAAGCCCACGGTCATCTCTTTTGCTGCTGCATCTTCTCCTGCCACATTTTGCCCTTCCACTAGACTTTCCATTGATATGCTTGGACACAGCACTCTGTAAACAGCCAGCCTCCTTAACTATGAACTTTTGTGGCTTACCCATCCTATGGAGGTATCAATGATGGTCTACTGGCCAGTTGTCATGTCTGCAGTCTTCCCCATATTGAACTGAACTGAAGCAATTTAATGACACCTGGGGAAACCTGTGCAGGTGCTTTGAGTTTAGTAGATGATTAATGTATCACACTCAGTTTAAAACATTCATGTCCTGCAACATTTGGGCTGATTTCTCCACAGTATTCTAATTTTTTTGAATTCCTGTTTTCGTGGGTTTCATGAGCTGGAAGTCCAAATTATGTAAAAATAAACAAATAAATACTTGAAATTGTTTAAATTTTGGGCCCTGAATCTATCATCTATTAAATATTAACTTTTTGAATGAAATTATGAAAGTTAAACAACTTTTCGATGATATTTAAATTTTTTGGAAAGGGTCTGTATATGTGTATGTATGTTTGTTTGTTTCTATGTGTGTGTATATATAGATATGGGTGTATAGATATGGATAGATGGATGGATAGATAGATAGATTTTATTAAGTAAATAAAAATAAATGCTGCAGTTGCAAGATTTTAAAAATGGTGGGTTTGATCCTTGGGAAGGAGATGCTGTCATGAATGATGTCACTGACCAGTCTATGGCATGCAGCCCACTGACATCAAATCTTCAGATCCACCCAGCACACTTGGAACTTCAGCTGAGTAGGTTCTAAGAACAGAGCTGAAATTTGGTGGAACTGCCCAGTGGAAATACCTGGTTGACCCAAGTACGGCTGTCGAGCCCATACAAAATGCCAAGAGTTCTTAATTATTTATTAGTTGCCACCTGTGAAATTAGTTGTACAAGATGGCGGGTGTGGAATCATCTTACAGCTGTCAGCCTAATGGCTAGTACTGGTACCCATTTTGTGATGTTTTTTAGCACATAAAACAACTGTCATATTGATGTGAAATAATGTGATTTTGCAGGAAGTTAAATCTTTAAACTTTTGTTTGAACCAGTTTTAGTTGTTTTCTCAACAAAACTGAATCTGTGTTACTTCATGAATGTATGTGTGCTGAGGCTGCTGAATGTACCTGACAAGACTTGCCTGATCAGTAAGCCTCAGTCTGGCTGTTATTTCACGTCCATATAGAAGAGGAAACTTACTGATGAGCAGTAACATACATGCTTGTTTTGCGTCTGGGATTGTTGTAGAATGAATGAGTATTTAGGATGATCCAGGGTGAACTGAAAGCCAGTAAATATGTTAATTGTCATTCATTAAAACAGAAGTCCTGTGTATGAGAACTAAGAATGTGATTTCCAATTAGATTTTTACCCACCCCCTATTTGGTAGTAAATAAAAAATGACTTTCTTTTTACTTAAAATGTTTGTAATAAAACATTTAGAAATGCACAAACATTGCCTAATTGTATACCTTATTAGGAAAACTAGAGTTTATCTGAGAGAAGATGTAGCAGGGTAGGTGCAAAATATAGCATTAAATTGCCAACTACAGTATGACCAAATAAATAAAAGTTTTTTATTGTTTGTGTGCTTAGAAAAGCCTCAATATTGTGTTCTAAGGATACTATCAATAAAAACCACAGTAAATTGTGGTGAGAAATTATTTACAAGATTTCTGTCGCTTGGATTTGCCCATCAGTTAAAACATAAAAATAAAAAATCCAATAATAACTAATTAAAATATAACAATGTTTCCCCATCCATCCATTATCCTGTCAACAGAACCAAGTGCCCCATCCAAATCCCCACTCCACGGCAAACAGCTCCACCACTTCCAGACAGAGAGCAGAGATTGTAGCATTTGTAACGTATCGCTCTGCTACCACCATCACAAACCCAGATTTGCTCCAGGTGCTCCGGTTTCCTCCCACAGACCAAAAACATGCATGTTAGGCTGATTGGTAACTCTAAATTGTCTCTAGGTGTGAGTGAGAGAGTGAATGGTTGTTTGTCTCTGTGTCCCTGTGATGGACTGTAGACCTGTCCAGGGTGTCCCCCACCTCTCCCACAGCGACATCTGGATATGGGTACCAGTGACCCAGAAAGGAAGAAGCGGTAAAGATAATGACTGGCTAGCTGGAATGAAGGTCTTTACTTTAACTTGTTTAGTTTTACATTTCCAGTGACTGAGCAAAGCCTAGCACTGTAGTCTGTTTAAACAAGGATTGTATAATGTAAAGGGACTTTTTAATAAGACTCTAACTAGCAGTATGAGGATGCCAGTTTAGAGTTTTAGTTCCTTGAAAGGAAGGGAGGTGAGCAACCAGAGACAACACACAGAGGCACTGCAGAGTTCAGATAAAATCACTCAGTTCATATAGTTCCCTCTGGAGAGATCCGTGCACACAGTCGACCCCAAGTACTTGGAAGTCCTGCACCTTTGTGACCTCTGCTCTCTGCCGTTTCCTTCACCAACATGCCCATTCAGGTCTGCTCCAGTCACCACTCTCTCCTCCTTGGGAATACTCTCTATCACTTGATCTAGGTTCTTCCAGATTTTCCCTTTCTCCTCTATATTACAGCCAACCTGTGGAACATAACCACTGACAACATTTAGCAACAGACCTTCTACTTCTGCCTTCAGACATATCACCCTATCTGACACTCTTTTCACCTCTACTACATTCTTGGCCAACTCCTCCTTCAGGATCACCCCATTCCATTTCTCTTTCTATCCACATCATAGTAAAACAGTTTGAACCCTGCTCCAATGCTGCGAGCCTTGCTGCCCTTTCATTTGGTCTCTTGGACACATAAAACATCTACCTTCCTTCTCTGCATCATGTCAGCCAGCTGTACCTTTGCCTGTCATTGTCCCCACATTTAGAGTTGCAACCTTCAGTCCTACATTCTTGACTTTCCTCTTCTTCCTTTCTCTCCCGACATGTTTCCCTCCTCGTGGTCTTCGACTATCAGCAGCACAGTTTCCACCGGCACCCTGTTTGTCAACAGCACCGATGGCAGTCGTTGTTAAGCCGGGCCTCCATCGATCCAGTATGATGTCGCTTAGATGAACTTGCATGTTCGTTTGGCAAAAGTGTTTTACATCTGATGCCCTTCCTGACACAACCCTCACTATTTACCCGGGCTTGGGACCAGCACAAGAGAAACACTGGCTTGTGCTCCCTAGTGGCTGGTTTAGTTCCATTTCAACAGTACTACTATGTACCTGAAGCACTGAGTATTTTTGTTATTTGAGACTTGTTGATTTATTTAGCATTTAAATTGAGCGTTATTGTGTTGGACGTCTTTTAATTATAGTTAAAATAAAGACCTAGACTACCTTAAAGGAATACATTACTACATTCACCACCTTTTTAGGACGGAGCTTTAGACTAAGATCACATTATGCTGAGAGGTGACAATGCTGGGGATATTGTGAGATGTACTGGCTCAGAGAATGTGTTAGGAATTTCTCTCAGCTGCTACCACAACAATGTTTAGCTCAATCTATATAAAAATGCTGAGTTAGTTGTTTTTTTTCTTTGCTAAGGTCACATTTTAAGATGATCATCTTCAATTGTGATGATTCTAAGTTAATCACTTGTAGATGAGCATCAATTGATTCATTTCTGAAAGTTTCATTTAGGTCCATTCACTGGTTTATGACATATTTTTCCAAGTCTACAGAAAAATGCATGCACAGGCACAGACGGACAAAACATTATCATCATTTTGACTTCCAACGACAGCCAATTTATTTATTTCATTTTATTATATATATTTTTTCCTGCGAGTTAGTTCACTACAGTAAACTAACTCGCACAAAGACATGGCAGTTGTTTTTACACCGGAAGCCCTTCCTGACACAACCACAGACCACCGCACTACCACAGCCCTCTGTGTGGAGCAGTGAGCTGCCATCTAGGGCTCCCAGGGGAACAGGTGGTGGGGCTTCAGTGCCTTGTTCATGGGCCCAGAGTGGGGAAAATGAGGGTGGAGACCTTTCCCACCTAAACTTTGATGTTATCGAACCAGCGACCTTCTGATCACAGGCTTGACGACGGCCAATAACAATAGAAAGTATGAACTATTTTAATAAATGCAACCTGTTAAATTTTATTGTCTTTTTTGTGTTTCAGCAGAGGGAGTGCCTCAGGTGTTTTACTTCGGACCATGTGGGAAATTCAATGCCATGGTCATGGAGCTGCTGGGCCCAAGTCTAGAAGACCTCTTTGACCTTTGTGCTAGGACCTTTTCATTAAAGACGACCTTGATGATAGCAATTCAGCTGGTGGGTTTAAAGTATACTCTGCCATGAGACTGATCCAAAATGTCTTTTGATAAACATTGTGAGGAATGCTAGCTTACAGCTAAAAATAGTTTTACTGCCTGATAATAAAACTTAAAAAGAAATTATCACAAATCGAAGTACTTGGGAGTAAAAAAAACATGCTTGTTTTAATTTCCCTTTTCAGTTAATCTGGAAAATAACAAATAAGATCATTATCTTTCATTAATTCAATTATATCAAAACCCTCTTATACTTGAACAAGAGGAGTAAAAATAATGCAAATTATTTTTTTCTCTAGTTGTTGGATTATTATTTTTTTTTTTTTACAGAATTACAGAAACCATGGCAAATATTTTCATTCACTGCTTTTAAGAAATTTGCTGTCATTGGCCACACTTTAATTTAATATTGTATAAAATATTGTATAAAATTGTTGTGCTATCGTGTTGCAAATGTTCCTTCTGTTAAACTTGATGGCCAACTTTTCTCTCCACCTTCACCTTAAATTATTTTGTGCCAAGTATTTAAAATGTCTCAAAGGATTTTGCTAAAATCTGTAACATTATAAGTGATTAACACAGTAATATTTATGCTGTAACCACTGTTCCCTGAAAGAGAGGAACGAGTTACAACACATGAAGTATGGGATGTGCCCTTGCTGGTCCTGCCTGAAGACGTCATACTTTTAGACCAATGATATAAGTGACATGCTCCACCTGCACTTAAATATATCCAGTAATAATGTCATTCTCATGGTAGCCTCACTTCACTAAGACCAGAGGGGCAGCCGGGTGTTGTACCTTCTTTCTATCTAAGGGAACAATAGTTATTTGTATAACATTATTTTACCTTTCAGTCAATTCACTTTGTACAAATTATGACGTATTGGACACTAGACACGCCCCACACAGCAGCCATCAATCCTAAGTCAAATACAGTACAACAGGGCAGCACCTTAGACCAGGTAAAAGAACAAAGCAGGCCACAGAAGAGGCTGTCACGTTTAAACAATAAAAACTAAATAAGTGATCTGTGTCGAGTACAAACTCGACCACGAGAATGTGCTGCTGATAAACCGAGCCTCAGGAGAGCACAGATGAGCATCCTGGAAACAGAAGATGGCAGGAAAAACAAAACCTCCACGACCCAGTGAGCATTTCTGCCTGGACAGAACTTTCTCTGTCTGTCTGGGATATAGTGGATTACGCAGATTCACATTCTGAATGCAGTCAGTATAAACACTTCAAGCCTCTTGCTAGTCTTTCCTTCTGAAGCAAGTTGCAAATTCTGAACCACAAAGCCAAACACGCCTTGAACCATGGCTCTGGGACATGCATGTCAACCAGCAGGCAGCAGCGACTAACGCCAACAAAGAACAGTTGCCTCTTTTGAGGGGCCTTGTGAGAAGCTAAGCTAACTAGCAGCAGACCGTTAGCCTGACTCTTAAGTGCAAGCAGGGACTGTCATCATTGCATCGTTTGTCTAGAGGAGGGATTAGAAGTTTTGTCAGCAAAGAAACAAAAGGATGTTATATCTTATCCTTCATGAAGGACTGAAGGAGTTGACTGAATGGGAACTGCAGGTTTCTCAAAATGACTGATTTACTGAAGCAATGGGTGCAATAAAAGTGTAATTTTCTAGTCCTTTTAATATTTTTCATTCCTATTTGAAGTAGCCCTGCCGCGGGGTTCTGGGACTGCTTTTTGTTGGCTGAATCTTTCAATTCTCTTTACCAGATTTCACGAATGGAGTATGTGCACTCAAAAAATCTCATCTATCGAGATGTCAAGCCTGAAAACTTTCTCATCGGACGGCAAGGAAATAACAAAGAGCACATCATCCACATTATTGACTTTGGCCTGGCCAAAGAGTACATCGACCCAGAGACCAAAAAACACATTCCGTACCGGGAGCATAAGAGCCTCACTGGTACTGCCAGATACATGTCCATCAATACACACTTAGGCAAAGGTAAGAACAGTCGAGGTTTGTATGTGTGGTTTAAACGTTGTTTTTTAATGTGATTTGTATATGGAACTTTATTCTAAAAGTTTCTTACTGAAATGTTTATAAAATCTATTAAAACAGAGCAAAGTCGACGAGATGACCTGGAAGCCTTGGGGCACATGTTCATGTATTTCCTTCGTGGGACTCTACCTTGGCAAGGGCTCAAGGTAAGCTTAGCATATAAACATGTCACAAAATGTTTTAAGTAGTACTTTCATCAGTAGTCCAAAACATATCTCACAGCTGATGATTAAATATAGTTATAAATTTATTAGCAGCTGGGGTTTAATATAGAACGTTGTTCTCTCCTTTGTTTTTAAAAATACAGTAAAATATGTTGCAGTGGTGAGGATTTAAATATTGTTATATGTATGTATATCTGCTGCTGCCAAAGATGACAGTGCAATTTTAGTTGTCCATATTTACGTGTGCATGTGTTAGCAAAATATCTCATGAACTCCTGGACAGATTTAAATGAAACTCAGTAATCATTAAATATACATGAACAACTGATTAACTTTTGTAGTTTCCACAAACAAAGATGGCCACCAAGCTAAGTAGCAGTAGCCAACACAAATATGACTGTAACTAGGTTATATTTAAAGATACTGAGCTAATTTAGGTGTTCTAGTAGCATATAGTCATTCCTAACTTAATGCCAACACATCTTGCAAAATCTCACATGAGATTGTGCAAAACATTATTTAAAAGGTTTAAAGAGCTCTGACCTCATGATAATGTGCTTTTTGTTTAAAACGTCTGCATGAAAGGCAGCAGTCAAAATGCAATCCTTCATAAAAATGCTAGGTCTTTAATACTGAAAAATGTGACCACCTGTTTGTTTGGCATTCGCTCTGTTCATTGAACATTTTAATAACCTGTGGCGCAACAACAAACACAAGCAGATTTGTAAATCTAAATATTTTTTTTTTCCATTCTCGCTTGGTACAGGATTTCAGCTACAGGTCACCATTGAAAAGCTTTAGGCTGCATGCAGCTCAGATGTGGGTGGTTGTCACACTCGAGAAGTGGATCTACTGCAATAAGAGTTTTAGCCTTAGCTCATGGGCTGTCCACTAACACGCATTTGAGGAGTCGTCGTCTTACCAATGATCAGCACACTTTTATTTTAAAGAAGTAGGAATAATTCCATAAGGACGAGCCGAGTTAACCAATATCTAGTGCCGTCATAGGAAAACCACATTTTCACTGCATAAAACAACTCAAACTGCAAAACTTTACCAGTAACTCGAGGACATGTTATGTGGATTATACACTATATATGAATTACTACGTAAATAAAATAAGTCTAGACACTTGTCTCTTTATTTTCACACTCCTCATGAGTCAGCCCAGAAGGTTTGGTCAAATGATTTTAACACTTGTAAATAAATCTTTATTTGTTTAGCACTTTTCATACTTGGCAACCCAAAGAGCTTCATAAAAACAAAAAATGGATTAAACATATACTAAACATAAAGTAAAATAGAAAAACAATAAGACTTCAAACTGTTCTAAAAGCAGTCCGATAGAAAATTATAAAACAACCAACAAATCATAATTATAAAACAAATAAATTAAAAGCGCATCTTAAGAGACGTATTCATCCTAAACGCATGCAGGGTGTGTTCAGTTGATGTTTTCTAGTCCATGGGTGAGTTAGAGCTGCGATCATCAGCTTGCAGCTCCTGGGATATACCCAGCCTGCAAGCTCATCCCATCCAGCCCATAAAGGAGTAAATTATTAATGAATCAATTCAGGAATCGGTTGTAGTCCAGGTCAGAGGGGATTGTTGACGGCCTTAGTCAATCAGAACGCTGCTTAGAATCATTCTGTCCATTTAGCATATTATCAAGTTACAAATTCTGCACAAAAAGAGCATCCAAATATTTTTAAGGTTCTTACTAATATTATTGAAGTACAAATATCTAGTTGTCCAAAGTCTTTAAATTCCTTTTATTTTCTGGATCCTTTTCAGGCGGACACGTTAAAAGAAAGATACCAGAAGATTGGAGACACAAAACGAAACACTCCCATTGAGGTCCTCTGCGAAGACGTTCCAGGTATGTTGATGATTATCGCTTGATAAGTGTGCATATCAGATGGTGCGTTCATCTCTATATGTTTTTGTTCAATTCAGAGGAAATGGCCACCTACTTGCGGTATGTGAGACGGTTAGACTTCTTTGAAAAGCCTGACTATGAATACCTGAGGACTCTGTTTACTGAACTCTTTGAGAGAAAAGGATACACCTTTGACTACACTTACGACTGGGTTGGAAAGCAGATAGTAAGTGACGCGCTGTGTTTTAAGTCAACCTGCAAGCTCCCTGCACAGATTACAGCTAATTGTTACTCATGTCAGCCCACACCAGTGGGATCTGTTCATATAGATTCTGCTGCTTCTGGTGTCACAAGAGACAGCCATGCTCCTCGGGACAGACCTGCGCAGCACCAACCAATCAGAAATCAGGTCTGTCGTGGTTTTTCTACCTTCTGACACTTTTGTTTGAGTGAAAAGGGGAAACCACTGGTTGAAGCACGACACTTTATTCTCAAGTAGTTTGAAAATGTTCCATGTTTATATTGCTTCATATCTTATGACAACACATGTTTCTGATGGATTGTTAAAGAATCCAACTCAGACGTGTAAAATTAGACGGGGATTGTAAATAAAGTATTGGCATAGCTTCTCAAAATATGATGCTAATAATTTTATATAATTATTGAAAACGTTAAAGTAACCACTATAAAAGGATACTCTGAAGTGTATCACATGGTGCAGTTTGAAAGAGTTTACTCCAGTAGTTTTTACGATATATTGATACGCAGCTCTGAAATGGGTGCATGCACTCAATGTAAACAAAGCATGTTTATCTGCATACTTAACAAATCTGAGTTTAAATACACACCAGTACATCAGACTTCTCCATCCCAAATGGCTCTTCCATGGACGTCTTCGTTGTTGGCCTATTTTCAGCAAATTTACTGCACTACTTTCAAATTTTTACTTTAAGTACACATTAATCATTGACTTGTTTCTTTTAATTTTTTAACTGGTCTTCATGGCATTGCAATGAGTGGCTTTAAAACCTTTCAAGAATTTCAACATTGAGCATTGTGTCAAGGTTAAAAAATTAATAAAAACACAAATATTACTGTAGGATCCCCGAGAATAATCTCATACATGATTTTTATTAGATTAATAGATTAAATCAAAATATTTAACACATGGAACTTTGATATTGACAAAACTATTTAAATTGTTCTAGTTTTTATATATAGAGATATAGATACAGAGATAGAGATGGACTGATAGCTATATAGATATACAGATATACATACAGTATATATTGAAATTGTTTATCCAAAAGCATCCGTTTCATTTCTTGCATTGTTTTCATTTTGTAATTGAAGGTTATTCTGATTGTACATTCAACTAAAATACAAAATATAACTCTGTGAAGAAAGAGTTGCCTCGTTTAGTCACCAAATTTAGTGAATGGTAATGTCAGAGGAAACAAAATTAGGACTTGTGTTTTATTTGACATTTTAAAGCAATAACTCTTCTAGACAATGAGAAAAAGAAATATCTTTAAATGTTGCTGCTTCAAACGGCTCATTCATGAAAATATAGCCACACCCTTGTCTGTTGTGTTGATGGTAACGTTTGCTAGAGTTTTCCAAAAGCTAAATTTACTTTATATACAAAAAGAAAAGTCAGACAACTGTTTAATGCTTTCACCAAATCAATTTAAAGGTTGTAAAGCCAGTAGATGGTCGTTTTACTTCTTTCTTTTTTTTATGACCTTTTGTAGACATTTGAGGCAGTGGTGTGTTAGAAATAACTTCAGGTTCTGAGTTATCTGCTTTATGTGATTTACAGTTTGTTGTAAATGACAACCATTAGGTATAATTCTTGTTACCTGTAATGAGAATGATGTTTGAGTTGTGAGAGTTTGAGTCCACTTAGCTCTTTATTCTTCTGCCTGAAGCCTTGCTTTGATGTAATTCATGCTTTTATTTTATTATTTTGTTTCCTTCTCCATTTCTCGTGCTGCTTTGCATGTTATCTTGACACGCACACACAAATGCCCATCTTTCCTAATTCGATTATTCCCCCACCCATCCATTGCTCCTCCAATCCCACCTCCCCTCACATCCCTGATGCAACCCTGCGGCCCCCGAGCAGACAGCGGTCTCAGATCGACGAGGAGCATGGGAGGTGCAGCCCACACGACAAGCAAACTCCTATCTGACCTCCCACCTGGCAGCGGACAGGCACGGGGGCTCAGTGCAGGTACACACCCCTCACCTGATCAGCCAACAGCCCCACCCACTTTTCATGGGAGTCAGATCTGTCTCATGGATTGAATCAGAGATTAAAACGATAATCTATAAATCAAAGAATAGGAGACTGTTTACCTCTGGATCTCTGTGGTCAGTCTAATTTGTTGGACTGTTTTTTTATTTTCTGTATCTGATGTCTCTGCTTTGATTTTATTTAACAGAAAGTCCTGAGTTTTGAGATTTCCAGATACAGATTTAACTGAGTGTCTCTTCTAAGCTCAATAAAATGCTCAAGCGAGCAGAAAGTTTAAATGATTTTAGTGTTTGTATTGAGGAAAGCTTTTAGAATAAAGTTCCAACAAAAGCTGTAGGACTTTATAATACCGTAACTTTGCCTCTTTAAATCACAAACAAATGTTTGTTTGGCACAATTTCTATGTTTTAAGTGAATAATAATAATATGTAAAAGTTATTTTAATGTCATTTAGGGTTTTTCTTTACGTTGTGTGAGACAGATCGACATCCATGTACCTCTCCAACTTTGCCCCTGGCTGGGAAATGTTTTGTTTTTCACTCCACCATATGCATGTCACCTGGTACACCCTCGCTCCAGATGTTGACAGCGTGACCTTTAGCTTTAGTAGCATTTGTATTTTGATTTCTGGTCCCACTCTTTGATGATTCTGAGGCGCTCTTTAAAAGAAATGCAGACACTTTTTGCATGGCGGGGTAAACTGGTTCAGGTAGCCAAGTGCATGCTGGGTGCTCTGCACAAAGATTGTTTTTGTTTGCCAGGAGTTTTTGCAGCGTTCACCAGGTTTACTTACAAAAGTTTAATAAGCTGTAAATAATTACAGTGTGCCGCCCGTTCTGCAACATGTCACTCATGTAGAAACTGTAACGATCTGTTTGAAGATGAGCAAATAGTCTGAAGCCTTTCAATGGTTTATATCAGAAACATTGTGCTTCTCATCTTATTAGACTCAAGAGTTGCCATGAACTTGATGAATAAACCAATGTTGTGCTAAATGATTATTGCCTATGCCCATATTGTTTTGATATTTTTTTTCAGATGTTGGGGAAAAAAAATTTGTTTTCATTTTATACGTTTGTACATGTTTGAATATTAAAATGTCACAAGTTTAAACACAAATAATGTTTAGATTTAGTAGACTTTCTATTTAAACCTAATGCAGATGTTGAGCTGATAGCTTTGTTCAGGTTGGTCTAATATCATTGAGCTGTGTTGCAGCAGAATTTTAATATCAGTATAATGTAGAGAGATGACCGTTTTCAATTTCAGGTTCTGTGCAGTCATTCGGAGCGTAAAATCAAACCGCAGCGTTTTGTCGACTTTTTTTGGCAAAGCAAATAATTGATCATAAATGTCAAATAGTGGACAGTTTGCTCACTCACAACATTCTGACATCCAGTTGAAATCTTTCTTTTCAACCTTCACTTTTTGATGTTTGATCTTGTGGAAGTCCTTCCAAGGCTCGTTATACCTTCAGAATATATACGTCTGATTCTTGTGGTCTAAATATTCACAGCAGAGGTTTGTGAATGTGAAAGACTTCATTGCAACACTCTGCTAATTCAGCTAAACGTAAACTGATTCTCGTCTCAAGCTCTGGTTTAATTACTTAAAGGTTGCTTTTTAGTTGTCTATTTACTTTGAAAAGATTGCACAATATTTGCTTTTATAGCATTTTCTAACAGACTAACAGCATAAATCACTTTAAATATTTAGTTTTTTCAGACTCGTCAGTCTTATCTGCAGGGAGGCAAAAATCACATGGATTAATGTTCAAATGTGTCCAAAACCGTCCAAGTTCATTCTAGGAATGAGTTCAGTTTTTGCACAACTCTGTTAGTGTTAGTATAGTTACTCAAGTTTTGTTATACATGGCAATGATGCAGCTATTCCTTGTTTTGTTTGATGTGTAGGTTTTTATCTGAAAGTGTTTGAGGTGTCAACATTTGTTCTTTTATATTTTCAATATTTTCCCCCATTAATGAGATTAAATTGTAACTAAGTTATACCCTGATTCGGAGGTATATAAAAAGGTATATATTTGTAAGTACATTAACTGAAATATTCCAGACTATCTTAGTTGATGGCATGTTTTTGTCCAGATTGGGATTACTCTAGAAGAAAGATGTTTGTTTGTGGAGAGAACAGTAGACTGGAGCAGAGACGTCTGTTCTGCTGATGTTTCTGGGCTCAGTCTGAAGTAACACCGCTCTGTGCTGCAGGTGGTCAGTTCAACCAACGGGGAGCTGAATGCAGACGATCCTCTCGCTCATTCCAACGCTCCGATAACGACTCAGGCAGAGGTGGAAGTGGTCGACGAGGCCAAGTATGTGTCATTCACCCTCTCATCCATGTCCATCTGTCGCTTCTCCTTCCCCTCTCTCCCCTCTTCTGTCTCTTATCTCTCGTTCTCACCATACCAGCCCAAGCTTCTGCTGGAGTGTTGCTCGTTACCTCTCATTTATCTGTGGTGTTTTTCTCTTTTGTCGTTTTAAGAACAAAAGCTGGCATACTTTAACAGGTTCTCATAGCTGTGAGACTCTGAGTAAGGCTAGACTGGCAGCCAAAGAAAACGTCACCTTTTAGCTGCGATGAAGCATCGGCATCGGAGACCCTCGTGTGAAAGCTCTCATGCACCCGTTTTTATTTCTGCTAATACGATGAGCCTTGCTGGTCCGTTCACGTGTTTCATGTGATCGGCGTGTTTAGTGCCTGTCCCTCTGATGCCTCGTCAAATTAGTCGACTTGGGTTTGATCCAGTGATGAAGCAGAATGAGTGGGAATTGGGCATTTAAAGCGAGTCATGTTTGTCTTTTGAAGTAAACTGCACATATAGTTGCCACGTAGTACATATTCTGAAGAGTGTGTGAGATCAACAGTACTTTGTATCTTGTTGTTTCAACATTTCTATAAATTAGCATTTTACAAACTAAACATCTTAGTAGAATAAAGTTCTTTGATCTTACATATTTTATTGAAAACTGCTGTACAGTAGTCCCTTGCTACTTCGAGGGACGTTTTTCGTGGATTCGCTATATCGCAATTTTTCAAAATATTGGACATAACACAATTGACTTATTGATGGATGAGCCATGGGTTGTTTGTTTAAAATAAATTATTTTAAATGATTTTGCACCATGTGTGCAGCCTACAGGTGTTGGGGAAGTTCCCTCCTGCAGCTGATCAGCTGATCTCCTTATCTGCCACACACACATTTCTGAATTTCATTTGTGAAGAGTGAACTCTTTGCTGTCCAGCTGCACAGATCGACTTTTGTCTTCCAACTTAAAATTCAAAGTATGTCACATCGTAAAATCATCATAATCACAAAATATAAAAGTGTTTAAAAGTTGTTTTTAATTATTTTAGAACTTCTGTGTTCAATTGCTGAAGTGTAATTGGTCAAGAAGTACATTTCTGCTCCGTGCTGCAGAGCTGAAGCTGCGTGACATCCCTTTGATGTCCTGCTGCACTTCTCTTCTCTACAATTTCAATCTAAATACTGTAACATTTTAAATAAACAATCCACGCTGTATGGGTTGTTTATTTAAAATGTTACAGTATTTAAATTTAAATGTATTTAAGGAGGGAGATTGGGAGTAACAGGTGATGTGTGATTGCAGCCTGGCACATGTCATGACAAAGTTTACTGAACTTGGACTACTGTATCCCTACTTTGCAGTTTTTGACTGATCGCAGGGGGGCAGGGTATGAACCCCCACGATAAACGAGGGACTACTGTTTTTAGATTTAGCTTCTGCAACATTTTTACACTAAGTCATGATTTGCTTTTGTCCACGTTAAAGTACTAGTATGTTCTCATTCACTGCACTTGTGTCAAAACAGTCAGGCTGCTGGGACAATTGACAAGTTCTGCTGATTTTGACAAAGATATAAATTCTGGGGTCGGGCCCCTTTAAATTCAGTTTCAGTCCTGCTCTGCGATGCACTTATAAAATGATTATTGGTGCATTTTGTTTGTCTTGAAACTTAAAGGGCTCCTCATCATCAATGAACACTGATTTTTATATATTCATATAAGATTTAACAGTTCAGTAAAGCTTTTTTTCTTGTTTGGCTTGTCTTTTCATTTGAACGGGCCTTTTTCTTACAGTTGTGTGTGAATGACTTGGCCTTGCTGGAAGTGGGTCACCAGGTTTTCTTGAAGGAGACGCTCGGCTGTAATCTGACATCAGCAGATGTTTAACAGGGCTGCCAAACATGTATTCAAACATTTGATCTGCTGCTGATTTTAAATGTTAGACAGTGGACGTTTTAACAAACGGAGCACAGCCGGCTGTTTGATGATGGACCGACTTCTTTTTTAAGAGTTCTGGTAAACCGGAGCTTCATAAGAGTTTGCTAACTTCTTTTCTCCAAGCTTCCCCTCTCTGTGTCCACCTGTGTTTTGTTTGTGGTGTTTGCGTGCACGTTTGTGTGGCATGTGCTCAGTCCCATCCACTTAGTCTTACTGTATTAATCTTTCTTTTCTCTTGACACTCTTTCCTCTCCTCTTCTTCTGTAGCTGCGTGAAAATGCTCAACCTGTGGTGAGTCCCTCTCTGCTTGTCCACATCATACTCATGGGACAGGGAGTGGACCAGCCGAGGCCCGTGGAGCCGCTTACTAAATTTAGCTCCACTCTCTCTGGTACAAAAGGGCCGTAAACCCCCAGAGAAACAATTTCACTATAGAGTCTTTTCCCTATTCCACGGTTTTTTCACCCTTTCTTATTTTGAGCCATCTGATTACTGAATAAAATATTATTTAAAAGTTGCCACATATAATCAGAAAAAATTGAACTGATGTCGCATAAAGAAAGACTTTCATGTGAATTTGCTACGGTGCCCTTTTATTAAGCTTCTACAATATTTTTAATTACTTTTCATTTGCATATCTGCCTTTAAAATATTCTTGACTGCTTTAAATCCCATTTATTAATAATTTTCCCCAGACGACCCAGTCACTGTCCTATGTCTTGGTCCACAGTGTTCTCTACTCATCTTTGTTTGTTTTTATTAACTGTTCGGGCTCACCGTGTCTTGTTCTTTCTGTGTGTGCTGCTGCTTTTTCTGAGTACTGTGAAACTGCTAAATGGATGCTAGATGAATAAGCACATGGACGCACGGTGGGCGACCATGTTCTTGCAGCTAAATGTATAATTGTACATAGGCCTGTCGCGATAAACAATAAATCAATTAATCGCTTGATAAATTAAAATTATCGACCTCCTATTTATTTATCATCTTTATCGTTTCTTCGTGTCTCTCTCTTTCTACTGAAGACACTGGATGACAAAAGGCTCAACTCCGGTGCTCTTCACTGACCCCTCCCTTTTTCTTTTCTCTTTAAAATCTGTTTTAACGATCCAAAATTGCGTTTTTGGATCGTTAAAAGCAGCTAAGCTGAGAAGCTAAGCTACGAGCTAAGCTAACAGGCCAACCTCAGGGAATAAACCTCCGTCTAGTCGAAGCTCCAAGATTCACGATTGAAACCCGTGCCTTTGTGTAAAAAGTTGTTTTCTCTGCAAAAAGAAGCTGAGAACTTGTTTACTGATTTTTTTTTAATTTTTTTATTAAAAGCTTTGTGTGACAAATGTTATGGTAAAGAGCTAAAAACCACACCGAGCTTCCGCCATTTTGAGAACCGAAAAACTGGAAGGAGAGACGGCCCATGTCACGTCAAGGGGCCGCCCTCCTAGTTTAGACTCCCTGCTCCTCCCTCACTGTCATCCTTCTGATCAAACAGTCTTATACTGCCAGTCAGTGGTCAATAAAGGTACTACACACAAAAATTAACCAACATTTCTTATTAAATTTGACAATTATTACTAATTATTGTCAAATTTCAAACAATATTATCATTTATCGCAGTAATTTCTGAGACAATTAATCGCCCAGTAAATTTGTTATCGTGCCGGGCCTAATTGTACAGACGTGTAGCTCTGCTGACCTCACAGACGTTATACATCACAGCCGTATTAAAGCAGTCTGCTCGTGTTTGTTTAGCTCTTGTTTGTGTAGACGTGTTCTTGCGTACCCATCAATTTAACGTCTGCCACTGTCTGCAGGTGCTGCTGTTTCTTCAGGCGAAAACGGAAGAAGAACACGCCGAGGCACAATTAACGACCCCCCCACACCAGACTGAAATGTTCCTCATGTCCGGCTCAGTCGACCGTGGTTTCAGAAGATGGTCCCTGTCAGAAGTAGAGGAGTCGGCTCAACTACAATGTTCTCTTCTGGGACCAGTAAAAGACACGAGTCATTTGATGGGAGTCCTTTGTGTTTTCTTTTCTCCTCCTCTGCTAACTGTGAGGGTGTTTCACCCATCTGTTGACACGAGCAGGAAGCCATCTTTAAAAGGTTTGGCTGAGGAATGTCTTTATTTTTCCCTCCACATGAAACCCAGAGGTTTTTTCTCATTATTTTTGCCATATTTTTTGCTCCATTTTTATTTTTATTTTTCTAGGAAGAGACAGATCTTCCTGTGGAACCTTCCACTTGTTTATTGTTTTGTTTTGTTTTTGACACACATTGACTCGTTTCCCCTCCATAAATCCCACATCAGCTCTCGCCGCCTTTTCATTTGCGGACTCATTTTGACACGAAGCCCGTCTTGGTGGTTCCTGACGCTGGACTGAATGTAAACGTGACCACGCGAGCTGCAGGAGTGGAGCTGCCTCTGCTCACACGCAGGCACAAAGAGCACCAGTCTGCCACTTGGCCCCTGCACTTTTCTCCCCTCCAAAGAGGTCAGCCGTGGCGCTGTGATCTGAGCCTTCGATCGCAGACGACCCGAGACGTCCCACAGTCTTTGAGGATTCTTCCTGCTCACTCCCTGTAACCACGATGCCGTCAAAACGCACTACATTCTCTTTTTACTCATGAAGTTTTGCTCCTGTTTGTGAAAACGAGCTGCATTCTGACACTTGTTGACGGGGCTGCGGGAAAAATGCTATTTATGCTATTTATCACTTGTTTGCCACTAGTTTTCTTACGAATTCCTAATTATACACATTGAATGTATGAACAGAAAAGTAAATTACTTTGGAGCATTTTATAATATCCAATATGTGCATGGGAAGGAGGTTAAATTCAATGTTTGTGAAGAAAAGACCAAAAGAAAGTGGGTTTAAAATGATTAGGATGGTCTTAATGTCCTGGATCTTAATAACGGACTTTTTAGACATGGCTGACATTTGTTGTTGTTTTTTTTTTCCTGGAGCGCTGAAGCCTCTGAAACCGTTCTGTCTAATGCCTTAACCCCGATCAGCCAACAAATGGCCGCTGCTGCTCGTCTCTTGGACGACAAGTCGGCAGCGTGGTTGTGACGTGCGTTTGTTTTTGGGGTCATCCGAATAATAAAGTCCAAAGTCTAGACTGTAGCTGTTAAAGCAGCTAAAGGCTTCTAACACGCTGAAATATATCCCCGAGAATGCAAAGCCAAATGGAAGGTGTGTGTAGTCGTTTCAGTGATGCCCCCCCCCCCCCCCCCCCCACACACACACACACACATGTGAAGACCCCCGTGCTGCAAAGCGATGTTTGATGTTGGGACGTCGGCGTCTCTCATGCTCTGAGCTGGAACAGACGAGCCCATCGGAGAGCGGGAGGCCTTCAGATGAGACTCCTTCATGTCACCTGTCCTTCAACACAACAGTGAATTTCACTCCATTTGCTTTTTTGTGCTAATGTGAATTTGTCTAATGCAAAATTGTCCCCCCCCCCCCCATTCCAAATAGCCATGTTTTTTGGGGTAAGCAAAAAGCTTGAGATCATTACTGCACTACATTTGTTGACCCCGACAAGACCCTGCCTTCTTAATATTGGACTTTTAATGTGCTTTTACTTTATTTTTAGCTGCCTCGTGTTCTGGGCCTTCCCTATAGGGTGCAGGGAATACACTTTTTAACTCCCTTTTTGTGCCATTACACCCTCCACCCCACATGTTTCACCTCTACACACACACACACACACACAGGTGCAGTGTCAGATGTGCCGTCTTGTGGACCTTCATCCGAATATCTCATCTGTGCAGCGTCGATACAAAAACTGCTTCTTGTATGAATTTACACTGTATAGTCTTTTTTAGTTGTTTATTTCTTACCCAGGATATGTTGGTTTCTTTGAGGCCTACGTTATTATCAAAAGTACTTGAATTTGAAAATCTATAGCATCTTGTTTTTTTTTTGTTTGTTTTTTTTTTTGTTCAGAATAATTCCACACACAGTTTGAGGGGGCTGATGGGACGATGGGCTGTTTGAATGACCGATGTTCATTTCCTTGGCGTTTCTTCAGCGTGTTGGGCTGATGGTCGTCACTCCTCGTGGCTCCTCCTCCTAGTTGTGTAAATGACCAAACGAGGGTTGAGTCGTTGCTGCCGGCCAGCGCAGCTGCAGACAGATGTTGCATGCTTCGCCAAACACCAAGAGTCATTGGAAGCCTTGAGAAGCTTCAAACGTTCAGCGTAGTGAGATGGATATCAAGATTAAATAGCCTTTAATGCTCCCCCTGAATCCCCCCCCCCCCTCCCTGAGTGCCATTTCTGAGACTACTGCTAACCCCATGCCTTCTACCTGTGCCAGGAAATTCTTCAAACGAATGTTTCATTTTTCCTCGACACGCCGAGTCTCGCTCTGTAGAGACGTGGCCCGGTGCCGTACCAGGCAGTGTTGCACGTCTCTGAAAGTGTTCAGAGCTGTCGCCGTTCGTCTCCTGCTTGTTGAATCCATTTTCTCGTCAAAGCAGCACAAAAGAAGAACAACCCTCCCCCCGGTCTTTTGGGCCGAGCTTGGCGCAGAGTTTTGAACTTGTGGCTGATGATCTTCAAAGCTTCCTCCTTAAACCGTCATGTCCTGTACGTTACGGCAGAGCCGGTGTCTGTAGGTGGATATATTACTCAGATGTATTTGAGTGTGTGAGCGTCTTACAGAGCGATATAGGAGAGCTCTGTATCTGCATGGCTTCTCTGGAGACTCTTACACTGTTGGATCCGTGGGAAGTTCTGGCTTCCAGTCATCGTATGAGAAAGTCTTTCTGCCACACACTTCATTAGTTTCTCCCAGTTCATTTCAGTCAGAGTTGTGTTGACTTCAGCCGTGTGTGTGTGTGTGTTTGGGGTGGGGGTGGGGGTGGGGGGGGGGCACAGCTGTGTAAATCAAAGCAAAGGACCGTTGAAGTGTGACTGAACGGCTTTAGGTCTTTTTGGGTTCTCTGGCACTTTTCCCTTGTTGCTGTACTGTAGACCTGTTTGATTTACTGTATTTTTCTTCACACTTCATGGGTGGGGGGTGATTATATTACTGCAATATTGTGATTATTATTTGAACTGTAAATTGTACAGAGTTCACAGTTGTAGTCTCCGTTGGGAATATCTGTAAAGAAGTATTCTCATTTCTTCTCTCCGACTGTGGGAATCAAATTGTACAGCTCCAAGAATCTATCCTCCCCTCTGCGCTTTTTTTTAAGCTCTGATTAAAAGAAATCCTTCAACTGTAAATAAATGTTATTGTGTTGAAATATGAATGTCACTTCAAAAATGTATTTGAATGATGAGTTAGTCAAGGGCTTCAAGAATGAAGGACCCACATTTTTCTTTTTTTTATGGTTTCATAGTTTTAATTTGCAGGAAGATAAAAGTCCTTTTTATCTGAGACGACTGTTTTTTTTGTTTTTTTGTGCGTTTTTGTTCATGGATTTCTACAATAGTGTCTCACATGAACCTGACACAGATCAGTTTTTATTCCCTCCACACCAAAAAGGGAAACTCAAATTTGCACCCTTTTTATGTAAAATAAAAAATCTCTCCACCTTTTGTGACTCTTGGTGAGCTTTTGTCGTCCGTCTGCGTCATGATTACTGAACAGAACAAAATGTGTTAAAAGGACGAGCTGTCCTCGGAGGAATGCTTGTCACCCGCCGCCTCCCATACCAGTTTTAAACTGGGAGAACCTGACGAGGAGGAGCCATTCTGGTCAAACCTTATAAATCAGATTACATGTGTAATGCAGAGATCTGACCATTTTAAGGTTGATTAGCTGTGGCGGCCATCTTGAACTGGGTTGTCCCTAAAAGTTGATCATTAGTAGATGTACAGATTACTTTTTTATTAACATTTGTATTCATAGGATAATTTGCCAAGACAAACGAATACAGTGCCCTTTGACCTTCAGCAACGGGTGATGAATGTAGATAAATGTTATGAAAGCCAAAGAGAAACTTTTATTATAAGGCACACCATCTAACAAGTTAAAAAAAATAATTATAAAGTTAAGACAAAATGTATATTTATTGAACCACTGACAGAACTTTTATAAATGTAAACATTTCAGATTAGATTTATTTTGACCAGAAATGGCCCTCATTTATTTTAAACATCCCTAAAGTGGGATTACGTTGACTTGTAAAAAACATTAAGTGTGCGTTGGCCTCAATCAGATGTTTAAATAAATTAAAAGTTTTTTTTTTCACAATTTTTTTTACCATGAACAATAGAGCACATATTTTTCATATATTTCAGGTCTCTCTTGTAAATGAGTCCTCGAGGCTCAATGGGATTAACCTGTGTAAAAAATAAAGGTTGACTGAATATATTTGCACATGCACAGGTCACAAATAAGTCAAAACTTTTTCACTAAAGTTATTTAGTTCTCAAAAGCATCAAAGTAAGTTTGTTGAAATTTGGTGATTTAATCACCTGGAAACATGCTATTTTTTTTTCCAAGAGTGCTGGTTTGGTATACTGTAACTTTTTTTTTCTTTCATATATTTGAGAAGAGGAATTGCTTCAAACGTTATACAAAGGGATTTCCTGCTGCAACAGCTGACAGATAATAAACGGTTAGTTTAAAAGGAAATAAGAGTTACTGGTAAAACACAAAGGACTATTTCTGAATGTAAAAATCTGTTTGAAAATTAGATTAAGAAGATGCTTTTGTTACTAGATGGTGTCTGTGGCCTCGTTTCTATGTATATTTGTGATGTACATCTCAGCTTGCCACAGTGACTGCATCCTGTGCAGAATTAAACCCATAAATTGAACTTGGTCTCATTGAACTTGGTCTCATTGAGCCTCGAGGACTCAGTCATTTACAAGAGAGACCAGTTTGTTGTTTATATTGTTACTTTATATTAGCATTGTTTGTCTTGGTTTGTTTGTAAATTGTTTTTCTTAATTAAACAAATAAAATAAAATAAAAACTAAAAATATTACTGGTAAGCCGGACAGTTTTGGTTGTTTCCAAAAAAAAAAAAAAGTTTTGGTCGTTTCCGTTCCGTCCACTGAACTTCCGGTGCTCCTTCGTCCTCCCACCAGCAGGGGGCGCTGATGATGGCGCTGATGGTCGCTCTGCTGTTCCGCTCTAAACATCCGGTTTTGCTGTGCGCTGTTTCTTTTCTGCCGGACCGAGCCAGTATGGTTGGTACACAGGAATTCTTTCACTTCAGTTTTCATCAAAATCCTCATCAATCTTCACAACCTGTTCGCTCTTTAAACGCGTTCAAACATCTGTCTGCATGTGAACAACTGGAAGTGTTAATATGGCGGACTTTGACACCCTCATGTTTTAAAGAGTTGTAGAACAGGAACCGTCTTTTTTAACAGGACATCAGTAGTGACGGTAGTAGACAGAAAAGCTATTTTAGCCAATATCTATTAAATTAAATGTGCGTTTTGTTCAAAATGTCACCAGAGAATGCGATAAGAATAAGTTTTTAACCGGCCTGGTGAAAATATGAAAGTTATAAGTGCCTTTATTAAGTTATTTTACACCGCTGTGTAGAGAAAGCTGTCATAAAAACCTAATAGTTGTTGGCACAGCTGTTAAATGGGGCAGGAAGTTTTAAGACATCACATCTAAACATCAAGATAAACATTTTATGACTTAAAAATCCGTGTAAACCTTATAAAATCCTCATTTAGAGGATCAACCACCTTCAATGAAATGTTCTTTTTGTTTTAATTCTCTGAAAAGTGTTTAAAATGAAAATGTTTTACGTTTTAACCACTTACTTGTGTTAAAACAAGTTCCTGCGCTTTTATTTTCTAGTTCGTATTTTCCCCTCGTTTTGTGTGAGAACCCACGAGTTTGTCTTGTTTGTGTTCAGGGGCGCGTCAGGACCAAGACGGTGAAGAAGGCCGCCCGGGTCATCATCGAGAAGTACTACACCCGCCTGGGCAGCGACTTCCACGTCAACAAGAGGATTTGTGAGGAAATCGCCATCATTCCCAGCAAGCCGCTGCGCAACAAAATAGCGGGGTAGGTGAAATGTTTCAGCCGTCTGTGCTCGTGTGTTCAGAGACGTGTCTCTGTCCAGCTGTTGTTTGTTTTATTGGGATTATTAGTTTATTTAATTGTTGGACTGACGTGTGAAGGTGCACGCATCTTAAACGTAGAGGAAAACATTGGGCAGAAGGATGAGACTTGTGGACCGTTTGGATGATGCAGAGTCTGCTCAGATCTTTACATTTTAAAATGACTGACTTTAGATCCAAACACAAGGCAAACCTCGTGGTCCAGCCGCTTGTAGAACCACCTTGCTGTTGCTCTAGTCCTTTTTGTGCTGGACCTCATCAGTCTCTTACGTCATTGTGGAGTTTTGGCCCACTCTTCTTTACAGCGCTGCTTCAGTTCATGGATGTTTGCAGACATTTGTTTCTGCTCAGCTCCCGTCGCAGCAGTTCAGTCAGGTTGAGGTCTGGACTTGGAACGATTGAGGTTCTGTTGTAGGTTCGTTGCTGCTGTTTGGGATCACCGTCTTACTCCATTTGCTCCAGACAGATGGACTCAAGGTGTCCAGCTCCTGTGGCTGTAGAACAAGCCCAAATCATAGAGTTGCATTCTATCCTAAAAAATCAAGCCTGGCCCGAGCTCGTATCGTTTTTTCTGAGCCCGACTCTTCAGCCTGTTCTCTGAGGCTCGTAGAGTCGGATGTGCACAGCCTGACATACGGACGTCCGACGTGAAGCGGACTTTAATGTTTTCCACTCGTGAATAATCTTTGTTACTGCAGAGAGTTATGGACTCCTTGTTGTTTGGAAGCCATCTTGTAGATTTTTCCAAAGTGAGCGGCTTCGGCTTCTTTAGAGTCATTGCTGAGGTCTTTCCTCCTTGGCATTGTGTGAAAACACACCTTTTTGCTTCAGGAGAGCAAACAGACAAACCCTAGAGCTGCAAGAGCATTTATCATGGCGTTAGCTGCTTGTAGCGCCTCCGGTGAGAGATTCAGCTTTTAGTTTCTCTGCTTGGTAAATGAGTTTCTGATCTCACAGATAAACACATCGACCAGCTGAAACCTGTTTCTGCATCCAGATGTTTGGGGTCCTCTGGTTTTACTGGGCTAAGATGTACATAAATACTGTAATGTGAAGTTTCAACATTTAATATTTTGCTTTCTGTGTTTCGTTTTTAATGTGTGAAGTTTGCCAGACTGGTGGTTTACTGAGGAGGAACAGTTGAGTGTTTTGTTTCCTTCTAAAAGCAGTCATGTTTTTATTGATATTTCAATGAGTTTCAGCTGTTTTTGCTCACAGCTAAACATGATCAGACTCTCACACCACATCCTACTGGAGGCTCTGCAGATGTAGATCGAACTACAAACAAAGGGAAAGATGTTGGAAGACGTGTGTCCCTCGTCTGTCACACAAACTGCAACGTGTCCTGTTGCTCATCGTCTGAGCAGCTCCTCAGTTGAAACATTTAGAAATGTTGGTGCAGTCCACATCGCTCCTGTGGAAGTTAAACGCTCCAGTTAGAATACAAGTAGTTGAATTTGTAACCAGAGCAGACTTGGACTCGGAAGCTGCTTGTTGTTCAAAGTGTAATCAGGTGTTTGCTCCTCAGGTATGTGACGCACCTGATGAAGCGCATCCAGCGCGGTCCCGTCAGAGGAATCTCCATCAAGCTGCAGGAGGAGGAGAGGGAGAGGAGGGACAACTATGTGCCCGAGGTCTGTGCTTTGTTCTCACTTCTGTAGAACTCGAGCTCTTTCCACAAATTATTTGTGTCTTTGTGCTTTTTAAACTTGCTGCTCCTCGACCGTACAAACGAGACTGGAAATTAAACTCTACGCACCCACTTTAGATCTTTGACCCACAACACTAGAGTTCTCTGACACCACGTGAGAAAACAGTTCTGCACAGATGGTGTGTGTCAAGAACTCCCAAACTGGTGGTGGTGGGAGGGGGCGTCACTTCCTGTAAAGCACGTAGCAGCTCCAATCACGTTTTTAAAGCAGGTTGTAATGTTCCCACAGTGATGGAACAGGAAACTCATTTGTTGCTTCTGATCCTGCAGGTCTCAGCTCTGGACCAGGAGCTCATCGAGGTGGATCCTGACACAAAGGAAATGCTGAAGATGCTGGTGAGCACTGATTCCACAGCTAAAGTCCCCTGTGTAGTAAATAATACACTAAACACGCTATCGTCACGGTAACGGGTGCCATCAGATATTAATTCAAACACCATGAACTGGGTTGTTTGGGGTTCCAGATATTAAAGGGTTCGGTCAACTTTAACTGTTCGACAGGACATCAGTTGTAGACGCAGAGTGTGGAGAAAAGAGGCAAAAGTCTTAGTCCAGGCTATGCTGATGAGGCCTTTTTTAATCACTTTGCAGGCAAAAAGTATAAAACTACATCCAGCTGTGAGTAAGTGCTACATTAGATAATATTAAACACTTTGCATGATGCAGCTCAGTTAGTTGCAGTTTGCTCAGTCAAACCGTGCCTGCACTGAACATGGACCGTCCTCATACCAGTGAAAGCTGCTGAATATCAGTCGGGTTAACGTGACTGACAGCAGCCTCTTCATATACACAGTGCACGTGTAGGTGACAGTGTTGTGCAAGTTTGGTGGTTTAACGTTAGCTAATGTAGCATTTGTTCTCCAGTATTCTGTGCGAGTTGATTTGAGGCTGAAAATCAAGCAGGTTCATGTTTAACCTAACCTGGATCTACGTCCTCCTCCACCCTCTTAAAGAGTGATGTCACAGCTGATGGACTGTTTGACAGATCACTTCAAAATGACTAAACTGTCATTTGAAGATAATCCTGGCATCAGTCTGTACACTTTGTTTTAGAAATTGTCCAACAGAAGTGACCATCATCCCTCTAATTTCACTGGTCTTGTTTCCTTCCTGTAGGATTTTGGTGGTCTCTCCAAACTTCAGGTCACTCAGCCAACCATTGGAATGAACTTCAGAACCCCACGAGGCCTGTAAGATCATGTTCACCTGCTGCAATAAAGAGTTGGAACTGGTCAACATGGACCCTCGTCTCATTTACTCAAAACATGAGCGCTCCGTATCATCGTTGTATGTTCCCATATGACGACATGTGACCCGTCACATGATGCACCCAGGAGCAGCAGCAGGCAGCTATGCAAGCGTGCAGGTAGAGAATAGGTGTTGCTCAAGGATTTAACAGCAGGGAGTTGAACCTTCGACTTTCTGGTCCCATGTTGGCTCATCTTGAATTAAGTATAAATAGCAAGCTGTAACTTACAGATGCATCGAAGAAAATTGAACGTAAAAGTTTTGTTTCATCATTTCAGAAAGTGAAACTCAGATTCATTAGTGAAATATTTCAAGACTTATTTTGATCAGAGCTGAACAAAACAAAGTTCAGTCTCAAGTAGAATATTGTGAAGAGGTTCAGTATTATTAACTCCTGTGTCACACCCTGATCAGCTGATCAACTCCTGGACATGAGCTACAAATGTGTCATTCTTCAAGTCCAGCCACTCCTGAGCCAGAGACATCAGAAGTGTCTTACCTGCTGAGGAGACAGAACTGGACTGTTGCTCAGTGGTCCAACGTCCGCTTTCAGATGAAAGTACATTTTCATTTAATTTGTAAATCAAGATCTCAGAGTCTGGAGGGAGGGAGAGTGGAGAGGTCCAGAATCCACGCTGCTTGAAGTCCAGAGTGAAGTTTCCACAGTGGTTCTGGTCCACTAGTTTTCTGAAGTCCAGCCATCGCAGCATCTACCAGGACATTTAGAGACTTCATGCTTCCTTCTGCTCTCAACGTTTATGGAGAGGATTTAATTTTATTTTAGTCTAGTAAGGGCAGCACGGTGGCGCAACTGGTGGAGCTGCTGCCTCGGATGGCAGCTCTGCTTCATTGTGCAATGGGAAAAATGTAGATTCCCTGTTGGGACAAGTACGTCCATCCATTTTGGGTCACGGGGGTTGTCAGTGCCCATGCCCAGCAATCATTATGCAAGGGGTGGGGTACACCCATGACAGGTCTCCAGTCCATCAAAGGGACTCTTGGAGATAAAACAACCAACCATTCACTCTCTCACACCTAGAGACAATTTAGTTACCAGTCTAACATGCATGATTTTGGTCTGTGGTGGAGTACCTGGAGGAAACCCACACATTCACAGAAAGAACATGCAAACTCCACCCAGAAAGGTCGTGGACTAGGATTTGAACCGTGGACCTGAACGCTGAGGCGCAGATGATTGGGGTTAAGGACCTTGCTCATTGGCCCAGAGTAGGGCCAATGAGCAAGTATCACTCAGCCCTCTGAATAGCAAGCAGCTATCAGTGGTTAGTCTGATGGTCCTCTTACATGTGAACGGCTGTTTTGGCTGTCAACAGCAAACTGGTTGATCCACTATGAGAAGGTGCTGTTCATGAGTTTCTTGCAGCTCCTCAAACAGAAGACACTTTTTGATAAAAGAAAACGTTTCAACAAGACTGTCCTGATGCATGCTCAATAAGACGGGTTGATAAATCTGACCAGGTGGAGTCAGGTTCTCTGGACGAACTTCATAACCTAAAATTGCACCAGTCAACTTGAAAACAAGCACGCCACCATACATCTGACAAAACGTTTAGTTTGCAGTGGTTCTTAGAGCTTCAGAAATATTTAAAGACGCATTGAGAGGCTAGACACAATTTAATGCTTAAACACCTTTATTGTGCCCAATCTGAACAAACTCCACAACTGTTAAGTAGCAGCAAACTTGGCAGACCACAATGAGGTAGACTTTCAAAACTCTAAAAAAGCAGCTGGGCTAAAGGACAACAAGCTCAGCATGACAAACGTATTGAATAAAGAAAAGACACGTAGTCTTTGGCACACAGCTTATGCATTTACGTCCAACTGGAACAGGAAGGCAAAAATTGGATAAGAAAGCAAGGGGTCATTTACAGAGGTCTACTCAAGCTCTGAAAGATAAGTTATCATCAGCTAAGTGGAAGTTCTTACACCCAACAGGAAACAAGTTGCTGTTCTGACAGACATGTTCCCCGCTGATGTACGAAGTGATTAAAACACTGCCACCTCTCCACACGTGTAAATTAAAAAGTGGGGAAAAAGTGACCAAATGAGTCCAGTTTCAATGGCATCTACCAGCTGAAACGTATCCAGTAGTACTTTTACAAATTTAATAACTAGTTCAAAGCAAGTTAAAGTACATCCAACACTTGTGCCCATTAGCTGAAATTTGGGAGGGCAAATAAAAAAAGCCACTGAAAATGTATGAAGAAAAAAATAAAAAAGGGTTTTCCCATAAACAGCCACTTGGTAGAATTGCTCAAAATTTTCATGTCTTGACTTAAAACCGTTTGTTTACAAATTAGTAAAAAACTGCGTAAAAATGTCTGAAATGTGACTGGTTAAATGAAGCCCAACATTCAACTCCCAAAAGTAAGAAACACCAGTTTATTTGCACAGGAAACCAGATGCCAACTGGGGTAAAGGGAGGGAAGAGGGGAAAACTAAAAATTTAAAGGCACTGTATGGCATTTGCCAATGAATGGCAATGAGACTTGGTGATTGCTCTTCACTATGCAACACAAAGAAAAAAACAAAAACAAAAGGGCATTTTCATCCACGTCCTAAAGTTAGGCTGACTCCCATCATGGTCTGGCCACAAGTCAGAAAATGCGTTTGGTGTGAAGGGCCCCTTGTTTATTCCTAACAAGGTCACTGTGCATAGTGCCACTGTGAACAGCAAAAATGTAGCAAGTGCAAAAGTGAACATTTTCTACAGTGATATCCCAGTGCCTGGTAAAGTGCATGGTGCCCTCGTACAGAGGGATGCCCTGCACACGTGCTCTCCTCGGCGGGCAGCCTCACCCCATGCAGGGGCTCTTCTTTAGTCCTCAAGACTTTCTGGATGTCTCCGCTCTAGCTGGAGTCCCTGTTCTTCTGGTTGCGCATGAGGGGCCGGTGGTTGCTCAAGATGTCCATGGAGTGCTGCCAGTGCCAGCAGGAGCGGCAGTAGTACTTGAAGCAGGCCTGGTTTTAGGAGCAGAAAGCACGTTAGTCAAAACAATGACCAACATTAGCACTACTGTGAAGAGAGACCATCCAAAAGACAAGTTTCTTCATCATGAAATGTTCTGGACAATATGGCAACGTCAAGTCTTGTTGCTTCCAAGGCACAAACTCTTGCAAGTTTTAAAAAGCAACTGAGCAATAAACAGGGTTTCTGAAGGTCGACTTGAAGCCAAAGCCATGGAACTAGTTCAAAACTTGACTTTTTCACAGAAACGCTTTACAACCAAACACATGCATGTTAGACTGCCTTCAGGTCTCCCTTGCAAAAGAGATCCACCTCAATGGGATTTGCCTGGTTAAACAAATGAAAAATGACCTTTGATTTATGTTTAATGCTTTTTAAACTCAAGAGATGAACCGGAGTGTCTACACAAACTTGGCAGAACAATTTAAATTGGATCTTTGGACACCAATATTAGTGGTCTGTCAAAAGGCTCTTTTACAAACAGATCTGTGAAATGGCCACAGAGACCTTTATTCTGCCTCTGGTCATTTGGAAATCACCGATCCTCATCCTGAACAGATGTGAGAAATGAAGAGCATCGCAGAATTAAAATAGGCTTAAAGCAGAACTGTGTCTTTGCTGTGAAGCACAACATTAAATGTGGATGTCTGCCTCTAAAACAAGAACTTAAATTTAGAGATTCTTTTGAGGTCAATTAATTTTTTAACCACCGTATGTTCCGCCCTATAAGTCGCATCAGTCCAAATGTGGAAAAATCCATCACATCTATTATGCGTCACCGCTGACACGTCACGTTTGTTACGAGTCACCGTTGATAACCTGAAAAATGTGGGCTGGTGTGCAAAAAAAAACAAAAAAACGAGCAGCCAAATGGTGGTTGCACGAGCGTGCACGGGAGGACTAACAAGAATTTAACAAGATAATCACCTAAAAACATTTGTTTGCTCGAAATTATAGTAGGTGTGTCTCAGTCCAACGTTTGCTTAATAAATGCACTTTGAAAATGCAGCGAATTTGACCGTTAAAGCTGATACATAAAAACATGAACGCACAGAGGACTCGCTGTCCATTTCTTCGAAATTTAACAAGATAACCACATAAAATTATTTTGTTAGCTCAACTTCGTAGTAAAGGTTTGTCTCAGTTGAACTTTTACTTAAACGCACTTTGACGGTCAAATCGGCTGCATTTCGCCGGGGCGGCGCAGCGAAATAAAACTGATTCAGTTGCTCCAGGCAGATGGCCGTCAGTCTATGGCAAGCTGATTGTGTCATTAATAGCCACCTTTACCTATTACATGATACAATGGCATGCCATACTAAAATGCCATCTAGTGGCTGGCTGTTCAATATTTTTAGTCAGAATGAATGAAATCATCTCAGCCAAAAATTATAAATCTGGAGGGGGGGGGATCCATAAATACATTGCTTCGGCATACAAGTCACAGGGCATGCAAATTATTCAAAAACCATGACTTATACAGCAAAAAATACGGTAATCACTTTGTACATTGCAGTGAGCCATTGTGCTTTTCCTCTGTAATCCATTCAATCCTGCTAACAGATATTTCTCAACACTGAGCCAATGAACAGGGAAGGGTGTTTATTTAATTTTTTTTCCCAACACTTGATGACTTTATGGTGAATAGTAGATAGAAAATGTGAACGCACACTAGGAAGATCGTTTATGACCAGTGCACCACTTGTGAGCCTTATGGTGGGACTAATTAAAGCATGGATCTGATGCTAAGCTTCATGGTTGTTAACAGCTGCGCTTAATAAACAAGCCCCGCTCCACTTGTGGTTTTTTAGATTCTTTGGGGTGGACAAAGCTAAACAATTTTCAGCCATTATAGCCGTCAGCAGTCACGCCCCCTCGCAATATCAGTATCGGCGATAGCCAAAATTTCCATATCAGTGGGGCTTTAGTAAAAATATTCACTTCTTCCACCTTCAGCAGCAGCTGCTCAGATATTAAAGATATGGCTGCCAAACTATTTCAGCATCAACAAGGTGATTTCTAAAGAGCTTTCTGCCTAAAACATGATCTAAAGGATGGTGCATTTTTCTGGTCTTCGCAGGGTTTCCCTCGTCTCACAATATTTTCAGATATTCTGCTGTGAACAGGTTGGACCCAACATTTCATTTCCCTTTCATCAACATTTGTTTTTTCTTCATATCAAATTCAAATTGGTATACACAGGTGTCATGGTCAGGTACAAAGACTGGACAGAAAACGCAGCCAACAGACCCAAATTGTTTTAAATATACCTTCAAAAGCAAAAGGCTTAAACTAGAAACCAGAAAGCAGTAACAATACTTTGTGCGTCTAAAACCACAAGTTTTCTTTAAAAGAATAAAACCTGCAGACCTGAAGAACTTGCAGGAAAAATGGCTCCGTTATATAAAACGAAAAAAATTATAAAAATAAAGATTAAAGCTCAAAAGTAATACAGGTTCTGCATATTTATTGCTGCACTGCATTTGACAGACTATCATTCATCCATCCATCTTTACCCGCTCCTTCCTTTCCAGGTCGTGGGGAGGTCACTACGCAATGGGCAAGGTACACCCTGGACAGGTGTCTAGTCTAACGCAGGGCCAGGTAGTCAACTATTCTAACAGTGCATCGTTTGCCTGATAGTTCAGGCAAACGATGCACTGTTAGAATTGTGTCAGATCTGTGCTAATCTGGTGTTCAAGTTGATGCATCCAGCAGCACCAAACAAGTGTTAAATCATCTCTTTAAGACTTCAGTTATTGCTGTGCTTCCACCAACTTCAGATTCCCGATGCAGAATTAAAACTTTAGTTTACATTTGACCTCAAACATAACGTTTGTGAAATTTGATCAAGAAGTCACTGCATCAAATTGAAGTTCACAAATATTCACTTTAGTTTTCATATGGGACCAAAATGCTTCCAAGTCCTGATCAATCCAAAATTAAGACATTCAGTAGAAATAATGGAAATTGCATCATCATCAAGCAATAGTTTAGCTGAAACAGGACTTTGTACTGACCTGGTCTCTGCAGAAGAAAGGCCCAGGCTGACGAAGGCAAACCTGACACATGGAGTCCTCCAGGTACGGGTCAATCTGAACCTGAATGGAGAAAAAACAAAATAAAATGCACAGCTGAAACAAGTGAAGCTACAACACGTGTAACAATGACAAGTTGTTCGTGCTGCAAATTGTTCTCTCCATTATTTATGGTTGAATCAGGACAGTCAACTCACCCATGATTAGTCAAATACCACATCATCTTACTTTTTTTGTAAACTTGGGTGTTTTAATCTCCACAAACGCTGCACACACAGCCTTCAGATAACTGCGCTGATTGTTGAAAGTGACACGTCCAGAACCTGCACAACAATACAGTTGATATTAACATAAAACATGTAAACTTTAAAATAAACCAGTGCTGATGCAACTCAACCCTACAGCACAGATTTCCTGATGAAAACGCCAGCAGTATTACCTATGGGATACTTGTGTTTGTCCGTGTCGATGCCAGCGTACATGACCCCTCCGAACAGGTCGTTCATGATGCTGGCCAGGGCCTCAGCGTTCAACATGCCATGCAGAGCGCCAACGAACACCGTCTTACTGGGGTCCAGACGCTGGGCAGGGCAGCGCACGTAGTTACTGTCAGAGATCACCCAGGGAATCACCTGCACCTGGAGCAGAACATAGAGTTGGCTTTTTGCTTTCATCCTTAACTTTAGAGTTTTGGTTATAATGCATTAAAGTGCACGAAGACAAATCTCTCGCACAGATTTTCAATTAGGTTCTTCCCAAAACTTAGTCACATTTTAATTTGATTATCTTTGACAAATCTGTAAAGACTGCAGAGAGAAAATAAAAGTTTTTGGGTGCCATGGACACTGGTTTTAAAACGTAACAACGTTCCCTGCAACTCAAAAAGAACAAAGCTATAAAGCCTGAAGTGCACATATGAATCCTAATGAACAGGGATACCACTGGTTCCTGTATCATTCTGAAATAGGTTTTATCTTGCACAAAATTAGCAATTTCTTTGCAGCACAGTGAGAAACTACAATTCATCAGAAAATGTAGCTACTTGAACCACCTTCCCCCTTATCAAGACTGGAGAACATTATTAACAGACTGTATGTGAATGTTTCTGTTCAGTGCCCCGAGACGACTTCTGCTGTGACTTGGTGTTGTATAAATAAACTGAACCTCCAATCATCACTTGTCACATGCAGTTCAGTAATGAAATGTTCCAAAAACAGAAAATGGAAAATAAGCTGTTTATACACAGAAATTTATCACATTTGTGTTCGAGAACGACACTTTAAAAGTTTTTCATATTTAAGGAACAATTTTAAAAATCAAAACCGTTGAAGTCTGGTTCTGTTCTCTTTGGTCAGTAACAGAAGCAGCATGAGATTCACTTTCAGATGAACAACAGATTCATTTAGGTTTATGTACAGTTCAAGATGCAGCATGAACACTTGCTGAAACGGTCGTTTCACGTCTGATCTGTGGCAGATAATTGAGGACCACCACATGGGATCTACAGACCGTGCAGATAAACTGAAACGTTAAGCAGTTCTGCATCAAATTTCAATAGTTTTAACCATCATCAGTTCATTAATGCACACAAATCAAGTTGTCAGTTTGCAGGCTGGTGAGCTGAACCCTTTAAAATATACCACAACTTGAAAAGTCACTGGAATATAAATTTTAAATCCCATTTATTATAAAAAAAGTATTCAGTATCACTAAATTAAAACTCATTATAATACTCCAGAACATTAACCTCTTTCACGTTAGTTTTCAACTCACATCCTTGCATCGCATTCTGCGGCTGGACATCTTGAAGTAGTACTCCCTGTTGTCCTCTGGGTGAAAAGGATCCTGGGAGCACGCTTGAAGCAAAGCCCGCACAGACTTCTCATTCTCAAACACCAGGTAAACATAGCCTAAAGACATTAGAACAGTAAATTAATTGAAAAAAGTTAGGAGCACTTGCTAAAAAGTTGGTATATGCACACCATGAATAAAAACTGTATGAATTATATCCGTTTGGACCCAGCTGACCAATTGCCACAAATGTGTTGAAACCATCTTTTCATTAAAGTGTCTGACATTCTTACAGTACAGCAATTCATGCATATCTAAAGATTCAGACAACTTTATCACATAAATGAGCTCTTTAAATTTGGTAAAACTAGATAAACGGATGGAAAATTTTAAATCAGATTTACACTGCCTGGCCAAAAAAAAAAAAAAAGGTTGCCACCATAAAAAATGGTAACACTAATATTTTGTTGGACTGCCTTTAGATTCACTGTGGCATTGTTTAAATAAACTTCTGCAATGTCACAAGATCCATTTCCATCCAGTGTTGCATTAATTTTTCACCAAGATCTTTGATGATGGCAGATTCTGACCACTGTGCAAAGCCTTCTCCAACACATCCCAAAGATTCTCAATGGGGTTAAGGTCTGGACTCTGTGGTGGACAATCCATGTGTGAAAATGTCTCATGCTCCCAGAACCACTCATGCACAATGCGAGCCTGGTGAATCCCGGTATTGTCATCTTGGAATATGTTCGTGTCATCAGGGAAGAAAAAAATCCATTGCTGGAATAACCTGGTCATTCAGTATAATCAGGTAGTCAGATGACCTCATTGAGCACAAACTGTTGCTGAACCTAGACCTGACCAACAGCAGCAACCCCACATCATAGACTGCCCCCACAGGCTTGTACAGTAGACACTAGGCATGATGGGTGCCTCACTTCACCTGCCTCTCTTCTTACCCTGATGCGCCCATCACTCTGGAACAGGGTAAATCTGGACTCAGACCACATGACCTTCTTCCATTGCTCCAGAGTCCAATCTTTATGCTCCCTAGAAAATTGAAGCCTTTTTTACAGTTAGCATCACTGATTAGTGGTTTTCTTAAGGCTACACAGCTGTTCAGTCCAATCCCTTGAGTTCCCTTCACATTGTCAGAGTCAGAGAGTCAGAGTTTCTTTATTGTCATTCGCACCTCATGTGGTACATGTGGTGGAGCGAAATTATGTACGCAGGGTCCCAGAAAAAAAAAAAAAAATTCTCGTGTGTAGAAATGTTCTTACTTTCACTATTAAACATTGTCCTGAGTGCTACGGTTGTTTTTCTTAGATTTGATTTCACCAAACGTTTAAGTGATCACCGATCACGATCATTCAGGATTTTTTCCCGGCCACATTTCTTGCTCGAAGACGATGGGTCCCCACTATCCTTCCAGTTTTTAATAATGCGTTGGACAGTTCTTAATCCAATTTTAGTAGTTTCTGCAATCTTTTTAGATGTTTTCTCTGCTTGATGCCAATGATTTGACCCTTCTCAAACAGACTGACATATTTTCCATGACCATGTGATGTGTCTTTCATCATGGTTGTTTAAGAAATAAGAAGCAACTCATTGCACCAGTTGGCGTTAAATAACTTGTCAGCTGGAAGATAATCGCCCATGCAGTAATTATCCAATAGGAGGCTCGTACGTATTTGCCAAGTTAAATCCAGGAAGTGATTTTTTTTTTGGCCAGACAGTGTATTTATACTGAATTTTTAGCTCGACCCACAACAAACCCACCCAAGTGTTTTGGTCAGTCTCACTTAAAACAAGTTTATGTTTGTCGGGTTACACAAGATGCAATATAGACTTAGCTCAAATATTTTAATAAACTCCTTTTGACTCTTCCATGCTACAAAACATTCATAGTAGCAAAAATACATCAGAAAAAATTTAACTTTTATGTAAACCAGTAAAACTAATGCCTTGCCTTAAAATAATTTTACACACCCAACAGAGACTTCCAAACTTTTTAAAGTTAAGCAGCTTACTAAAAACAATGAAAACTGAACAAATCTTGCAAATTAAATTAGAATTACTAGTTAATATACATTGTTAACTACAATATATTGGGAAAAAGAAATCTGATCAGGGTTTACTATCTTTGCCTGAACTTTATTTTACAAGTTGATCATGGAGAGACAAGTGTTCGACTAAAACCACATCCTTTAAGGTCACCAACCCAACCTATAAAGAACTACAACTTTGTGTTCAGCGTAAAGAAAAGCCGCTTTTGCCAACAATGTGCTCCCAACACCACATTTCACTGCTCCTCGTATGCCCAGGATCACCATGTATGGCCGTTTGGCCCCAGAAGCTCAAACTAACGTGCAACGGGCTCACCACAGTGCCACCTTAAAACCAAGGAGGAAAAATTTGTTGCCTACCAGCTTATCGTTACCTTTAGCCACATTACCTTTAGGAGGGCAGCGAGGGTGCTTCCCATCCTTACCTGGCCACTCCACAGTCAGAGGGCCGTAGCCACTGAAGGTGTTGATCAGACCAGCTGCAACAAGGACCAGAACAAACTTCAGTTTTCAGGAATGAATAAAGGACCAATAGTTTATTCAACACAGCAGCAAGACTCTGAACACATTAATCTATGTAGGCATTTTAGGTGATAGACTACAGTAGTCCCTCACTTATCGTGAGGGTTACATTCCAGACACCCCCATGACTGGTGAAAAGCCGCAAAGTAGGGACATTTATTTTAGTATTTATAGATATATTTTAAGACTTTATAAACCCTTCCCACACTCCTACAATGTTCTCTTAATGTTTTAAAACACTAAAAAAAAAAGCACAGCAAAACATTCGGGTCATGCGTCATTTTAAATTATCTATTACACTCATGCGGCTCACTCGCCACCTGCTTTCTTTTTCCGAGGCTGTCTGTTGCACATTTCTGGGACACAATGGGCAAAGACAGACCCCAACCCGGCCCCCTCCTTTCTCTGTTGTGACAAATCGCCTCGAAAAGAGAAAGGAGGGAGCGCAGATGAGCAAATATAGAATATCAGAATATGCTTAGGTGGAAAAATTAGTGAATAGGTTAAAATAAAGTGGCTGAGTGAGACTCAGGTGTAAGAGATCCCCTGCCTCTCCTTTCTCTTTCTGAGGCGGTCACAGCAGAGAAAGAGAAAGGAGGGGGCGGGGTCTGTCTTTCCCTCTCTTTAATTGTACAATTTTGCGTTGAAAACTCGCGAAAGAGGGAGTCCGAAAGTTGAACAGCAAAGTATTGAGAGACTAGAGCATAATTACGTATGTTAGGAGACTTTAATTCATAATTACGGATGTTAGGCGACTTTAATTCAACTACCGTAATTGAGATCTGTCAAGTTGCAATAAATGTCATGTTCTGTTGTAGCAGGTGTGTTTACATTACAAATACATTTCTACTAGCGCTACAAGATTTAATGAAAACCACCAGAATATGCAACTATGCAAGCAGAAATGTAGACGTCCTTTTTTTTTTTTTTACTATGAAATGCAGGCAAATAAAGATGACATTTATCAGAACAGTATTTCTTTAACGATGGCGCAGCAGCACCTTCAGTGATGTCCCAGGGCACACCACCAAGAAAGACTTTGCAGGAGTAAATGGGATCCTTGTTGTTTCTGGGAGGCAGCTGACCGCTCCAAGTGAACGTGGCTTCATTCACAGCTGATCAGAGCAGAAAGAGGGATTAGTCATAATTCTGTTTTTATTTTTAAGAAGCTAAAAGGCAAGTTCAGTGAGATGCAGATGGACCTGCAGCCTGTCTGTGCAGACGGGCCTCCCTCTCAATGCTGAACGCATCATCTGACTGGTCTAGTAGCTCTGAACCTGGCCATGGAGAGCCAGTGCGCCAGCGGCGGGAAATAGTTGAGGCGAGGCTGGAACTGGATGGTGGGGTCAGAGGAGAGCTAGTGTCCTGAGGGTCCAGACGGGAACCCAGTCTCAGCAGATCCTTCTGCATGTTTGATGATAGATAAGGCAGAGGAGGGGAAATCCGCAGCGTTGACTGTAGAGGAAGACAGATCCAGTCAATTGACAAAAAATGGACGGAGACAATCAAGACCTCTTTACACCAAGGAGCCAAACTTTACACATTTCTTCAAGGACCTTTGTTTTGTTTATCATGCATTTTGTCTTGAATTGTTGAGCGCAAAAGCCAATTTGATAATATTTGTACAAAAGTTGCATTCCTAAAAACTAAATCCCTAAAACCAGACTTCTTTACACAAGGGGTTCTCAAACTTTTTTTTTTTATGAGTCAGGGACCTTTTACAGAGGACAAAAAGTTTCAGGGACCCCCCTCTTAGCCCTCACCTTTATTAAATAATTTTCTTCAATTCGTCTAATGCAGTCCTTTTCAAATAGTGTCATGTCCATGCGCTCTGGACATCACCCACAGCACGCACGCAACAGAGTAAACTCAAGGCGAGAGTGACACCTGTCCCCTTTCCCATTGACAAAATGTTCTAGGTTTATCGATGTGTTCATTGATCCAGACTTCCTCATTTTGATTAAAAAAATAAAATCAGTACAAATTGTTTAGTTTTTTTTTTTTTTTTTAAGGTCAAAGCGTTTTATACAACACTGAGTTACAATGTTGCTGATCAATTTGAATTGATCATTTGTTGATTACATTTTTATTTTTCAGTATCAAATAGTCAACAATGTTTACAGTTTGAATAAGGATTTAAGTTAGCTTTTTTTCTTCAAGAAAATTGATGCACTTTGTTTCTGTTACAGACAAAAACAATGTTAATAAAGTTATTCTTGGTTGTAAGTTGATCTTTATTCTGTTTTTCAAGACTGTGTTAGAGATTCACTTATATTTTTAGACAAATTATACTATTTACAGTCTCAGCAGAGAAATGGGGCGCAAAATGTTCGTCTTCCTGGGGGTGGGGTAACAAAATAATTGAGAAGCACTGCTTTAATGCAATGGAAATATTTCTGTGACAAATACTTAAGACCTGTTCTTTAATTGTGATAATACAATTTTTATACTTTTAAACATGGGGTCTTTCATTCAAAATTAAAATTTTTAAACTTTCAAAAATTAGTTTTGAGAAAATTAACTATCAAACACTTAAAAAAACTTTACCCATTCACATAATGAACATAAATGTATCGTCTCTTCAAATTATCACAGAAATCTTTACATAAAACTGAACAGAATCGGAGCAGCACTAGTCATCCCAAGAAACAGAGCTTCATTTGTTAACTGATCGATGCTGGAGCTCAAATAGTGGGCGGGCCAGAGGGGGTCTGGGGACCCCAGTTTGAGAACCACTGCTTTACAACATTTCTTTAAACAAGTACTCTTGAAAACGTTCACATAAAATGAGAATTAAAGATTTCTTGTTAATTTTTTTTTTTTTTAAACGTGAACATACTGAGACAACTGTCATCTTGTTTCCAAATAAGGCAAATTAGTGGGTCGCTTTCACTAAAGCAAGAAAGAACCATTTAATGTGTAACCATACCTGGGGCATTTGAGTTTGTCAAAGTGTGGGATATTTTAAACTTAACCGTGTTAAACTGAGGCCTTTCCTAGATTGTCATCACGACTGTGGTCATCAAGATTGTTTCAGTTGTGACTTGGCGCTATATAATTAAACTGAATTGAATATGCATCAAGTCTGAGATGACTACAAAAACAAAATGTTAAAACAAAATAAGTTCAGTGCAGGCAAATGTATTAAGCCTAAAAAAGTATAGTAACCGAGTAGCAGCACTTTTGTCTTCGATTACATTGCAAAAGTTAAACTGCTGCCAAAGGCATTTGTTTTTTCTCCCCAAAGAAGCTCCGAGAATGTCCCCGAGAGCAGTCGGTGCAGAGATTTAGCCGTTTGGTCAGCAATTATTTTGCCAACAAGTCAAAGACTGAATTCAACCATGTGCTCTTCAGTAGGCTAGACAACCGAGCACAAGCATGAGGGGACGAGACTGACAGAAATGTCTTTCAATCGTGTTTTGAAGCTACCATCAGCCTTAAACTTTTTGAGTACGCAGCCAACGGCTCAGAGTAGGAGGCTGGAGTCATTTCATACAGATGCTTTGTGCAAAAATGTTGGTGAACGCAGACGATTTAAACACTGATCACTGATGAAAATGTCTCACCAGCATCACAGGAATTAAACGAGTTAAGTCTTGATCAGCAGCTGTCAATTTGTAGAGCGAGAAAACATGCATGGCATACAAGAATCTAAAAGAATTTTCACAATGAATTTGTCTTTGTTCTTTATCTTGCAGCAGGCCCAGCTAAATCCACGCAGCTAAAAAAACAAACAAAAAAACACTGATTTTTGTAACTATACAAAATCATGAAATCTGACAGACATCAAAAGCATATTGTGAAAATTTCTATAAGACGTTTTTAACCCTTTAATTTTGACTATGTTCCTCGGGGGGGGGGGGTTAACTTTAACAGCTTAAAAATACTAGCTGTAAATGTTAAAAACACAAAAAACCCACAACTACTCAGTTTTTTTTAGACTTTGCCTAAAATTAAATCTACTTTAGATATTTGTTATTTTAATGCTTTCGGGGTTTGTTTTAGGAAGTTTAATATTTTATGGTAGGCAAAAATTTAAAATTCCTTCATTAGAACGCTCTCTGGATCAGAACCGATGCTTGGTTCCATTAGCCCATTCAGACAGGTTCTGGACCTCCTCTGCAGAGTCAGACCTCCAGTGGTAGTAGAGTTGCATTCCGGCCTAAATTAAAAAAATAAAATAAAATCTGGCCCGGCCTCATGTTTTCTGAGCCCGACCAAAAACCGACGGATTAACCAATTACAGGCCCGAACCCGAAAAACAATTTTTTTTTTTCTTCCATCTAACTTTTACTGCTTTTGTAAGCAAATCAGTTTCAGTTTGACATTTTAAAAACATATTTCAAAGAAAGGTATAAGATTTCTTGTTTCACCAAATGAACATTAACATACAAAAATAGCCAAAAATAATAAATAAATCAACTGTAAATAAAGGCTATTATACAGATTAACAAAAATATTTTGAGCAAATTTATTTGAAAAACTACAGAACAAGGCGTGCTGCGCGCTTCGGCTTTTGTAGATGCTGCTACTTCCTTCACCGCAGATGACAGCAGGTGTGGAGATGCGCATGGCAGGTGATCAGCTGATCCATCTGAAGCTTAACTGGACATTTGTTTACTTCTTTCAACCGGCCGGTCGGACCTGCCTCCTCCTCAAGTAGATTAACAATATTATATTGTACATTTTTATTTAGTTTTTTTTTGTGCTGTACGATTCGTAAAACCGCAGCAAAGTCAGAGTCTAGCCCAGCCCGCACATTAGGGCCTGGCCTGAATTCGGGCCCGGGTTAGAAATAACAGCTCTTTCTGGTGGGGCTTGGTGCCCTCTTCCTTTCCTAAAACAAATCAACATCCTCTGTCATGACAGACTACGATCCTCTCCTCTGGCCGAGAAGTTTTGACTTGATGGTTCCATCCCCCTCCAGGTCTGCAGCTCCACCCTACGTTCAAAAATTATCTAATCATTTTTGACTCAAACACTAAAAACTTACTAAACTAAATGCACTAAATTACATTAAACTATAAAACCCAAACACGCCAAATATTTTAAATCTCTCAAACCTCATGACTCACTCCCACTGTCACCATCGCGCCCAACTCCATTTAACTTCCGCTTCTTCAGTCTTCCTGTAGATTTTTTTGGCACTTGACAAATAACTGAGCATCTGTCAGAAAGAAGGGGGGAGGTTGTCTGTTTGGCAGGGGTGAAAGCTAGTGAAGAGTGATGCCTTGTTTTGTCCCCGAGACTGCCCATCTTTGCTGCAGCCTCTCACTCCAACACGCTTCAGATAAAATGTTGCATGGATTATTGATCACAACTGTTTTTACTTTGCCGATCAACACCATTTAAAAACCGATTTGTAGCTTGAAGTCTGTACTTTTGACAAACGAAAATAGAGTCTGAGAGGCTGTGTCTTTCCCGCTAGAGACTGAAATTGGTCATGCAACTATCATGCATCAGCGTGATGAATGACTCCAAAAGGAAAAAAATTAAATTGTCAAGAGTAGGCAGCGAAATTAGCACCTACTGCTTGTTATTGTTATATTGTATATATTATATATATTGTATATATTATATTGTATGTTGAAATACACAGTCTCCGCTTTCAACTTAAATATTTTGTTTGAAATTGCAAAAGGCATTGTAAATCCATTGTTTACAATGTCGTTATCTATCTATCTATCTATACACGCACACACACACACACGCACGCACGCACGCACGCACACACACACACATATTCAACATAAAACTTTATAAGTGACTTAGTTTGACATCGTCTAAATACAATAATCTGGCATTTCTCGGTTTCAGAATAAATTGACAAGACGCGTTTGCATTAGGGTATTAACAGAGTACTCGAGTAATCTACACATCGATTGCTAGAACATCTATCGAGGTTAAAAATGTAATGTCGAGTATCCGTAGTGACGTCATATGTGACCACCGTATGACCGTAGGGGGCGGTGTTTCACTGTTGCAGGTCACAGAGTATGGTGTAACTCCAGGTCCAATCCACCACCCATCCACAGTTTTAAGTTTCGTTTTTGACGTGCTGCATGTTTCTTCACGTTTGCAGTTTAATAATAACTAATAGTTTAGTTTTTCCTGTGACTTATTTGCAGTATGATAAATGGTAGGAGCATAATATACGCTCCTAATGTTTTGTTGGTCTTTTTTGTAATTACCTTTTATTGCGGTTTTATTTTTTTATCTTGAGATCTATGACGTCAAATACTCGAGTTCTACTCTGGTTTTATTATGTTAAAGTCGAGTTTAAAAAAATATATACTCGTTCAACCCCTAGTTTGCATCAACACCAGATTAAGATCAGCTCATAGTAGCTGCAGACCAGCCAGTTTTTACTGGCTTACTTACCCATATAAATGTTGACCAGTAGACTAGTAGCAGCAACATGTTTGTAATATTAGGCACCAAAATTAACAGGAGCTGCAGGTGTCTGTCTCTCTTACCAGCATGTCACAGAGGTGATCCGAGCCCGAGCTAAAGCCACTGGTTTCAGAGTCTTCAGGACTGCTGGAGCGAGAGTCCAAAAAGGGGATAGAGTCCAGTCGGTTTGCCATTCGTGCTATGCCTGGGAATTTCTCCAGAAAGTCAGCAGTCATGCTCATGGACTCATGGGGCAAATACCCTGGGGACTTGCCAAGGATGCTACTGAAAGGGCTGTTCAGCATACCGAGCACTAAGAAGAAAAAAAAAAAAAAAAGAAAGACATTTACAGTATTACCAAGAAAGCTTGCCGATTCTACAGAACTGTATTGATTTGTCAGCAGGCAAGCAACAGTTTTTAAAAGTTTGATCCTTCCAACTAAGGCGTTTTATGCAGCTGGATGAGCCAAACAGACTGATTGTGAATTTAAAGTTCCACATTGACTTGGTTTAATTGCAGGCTCATTTCTAGCCATCCATCATTTTACCCGCTTCTTCCTTTTGCGGGTCACGGGGGTTTAGGCTGATTGATAGCTCTAAATTGTCCCTAGATGTGAGTGAGAGTGTGAATGTTTGTCTCGTTTGTCTATGTGGCCCTGTGGTGGATGTGCGAAAGCTCAAGTAGGAGGCTTCTAGATAACCTCCACCAAAGGGAGCTCAAGTTCTTTTGGAGAACAAGTTGGAGCATTTCCAATTTCACATCCGATATCTTGACTGCCATGAATTTAAAACTCTCCCACCACAGACGCTTCACATCTTTCCCTCCAGCTTTGTTACGGTAGATCAGTTCATCTTTCACCTTGGCCAAACCAGTTAAATTGCTAACCAGCAACACATTTAGTATCATTTTTATTCTAATAATAGAGAGTCATCCTGAAAGTGTAACAAACTAATAAATCTGGTTCAGAACCATGAACTGGGAACCGAGGGGATTATTCAGCTGTAGACTGCATTCAGAGATTTGTCCCACTTTACTGCAGGCCCAGTTTAGACACCAGTTTGGTTTAGACATGTAGTAAGACTACGTCGCTGCTACAAATGGGGTCAGAGCAAACGAGGGATTCTTATAATTGGTGGTACCTCCCTGAGGACAAGCACTAGTCTCAAAGGGGCATTGGAAATGTCAGAATTCGTGTATTGTGCATTTTTCTTAGAATATGTCAGAATCTCTGTTGTAGAAATAATCCAACAGGTTATCACAGATTTAGACTGATCTACTAGCTTGTTTTTGTGCCCGCTTGATTGCTAGACGCAGCAAAGCAAAACTGCCACATCATCCTTCTCAACAAAGCTACAGCCTGCTCCCACACAATGACAGATGACCGGTAACGCACCATACAAATTACAACATCAGGGTTTCACATAAAATACTTGAATCAAAGTCTACCAGGTCTTATGGTGAGTCATAAGAATCATCATTTTGAGAACTACAGTCAGACAACCACAACTTCTGCTCCTACACATTCAGGTCAACAGAGCCTCTGGTACTTACCAGAGGAGGAGCTGGTCTGAACCTGGGACAGGGGTGTATGCGTGTCGCTGTCCTGGCTACTCCATGGTCTGTCCCAGCTGGATAAGCTGAGCGAATGGAGGCCGAGGCCCAGGTCTGTGACGTCAGACGAGCTCCTGGATGAAGGCATGTCCTGGGAGCTGGGTATGCCCCCACAGTTGGGAAAAAGCATCCTCCTGCTGCCCACTGCAGCCCGATCAGATTCTTCTGGATCCAAGATCAAGTTTCAAGATGTAATTAAAAAATAAAATAAAAGGAAAGGCAAAACTGTTAGCATACACAGTTGTGTCAGTGTGTCTTACAAAGGAAATGACAGGATAAAGTCTGCCGACACATTCTTTGAAGAGAAGACTCATCTGAAAAACCCCCCCTCCGACTCGTCTCCCCTACCCTGGCTGACGGCGAAGCTAACCTGCTGCCTCGGTGCCTGCTGCAACTGCCATGCATCTCCATCCGCATCACTGACCCACCTAGAAGCATGTGACATGGCTGCTGATGCACTCGCACACCCCTGCTAGTGACATCAGCTTCCTCCCCACCTCACTGCTGTCTTGCTTAACTAATGAAAAATTCCCATCCAAGCTACTGGCTTGTTGATAGAAGTCCTCCCCTCTCTGGTAGGCAGCGCACGTCTCCGAGCGAATGGGACGACCACTGCCCCCTTACTGACTGGGTCCAGCCTAGTTTCCTGAGCGAGCTGACAGAAGCAGGACGGGAGGGGGGCTGAGGGGCAGAACTACAGCACCATGGGAGTGAATGACTCAGCAAACTGGGAGTTAAAGGTACTTTAAGCTCGAGGATGCTCAGAGAATTTTCTTAAATCAGTGGCTTGTAAATTCATCTGACTTTTTTGTTTTTTTAACAGATTCAGATTAAAGCAGGCATGCAGAGTTTTGCTGCAGCAGCTGACTGATCAGATGTTAATGACGAAGTCGATTTGCACTGCCAGCTCTTCCCCCTCCCTCCCTCCCTCCCTCCCTCTCTCTCCATGCCTGGACAGCTTCCAGCTGAATGTTACTCCCCTGATTCAGCAACACCGAGCTCAGGCGGCCAGGGCACAGGCCAAAGTGAAAGTTTAGCTCCATTTACATAAAGATCAAATTCACTTTTTTGTTGCAACACATTTTATGCTGCACTGAAGCTGCATCAAACTCTGATACAGAGTTATGAAGTGTAAAACTTTCAGCAAAATAATTCAAACAGGACAACGGCACTTTTCTGGGCTTAAATCTTGGCAAAACTTACTGGACTAAAAATACGAACATTGCTGCAATGCTGCAGATAAGTGATTCAGCATGAATCAGCTGCTGGCAAACAAACTGCAAGGTGAAAACAGGGTTTAACAAACGAATGAGACCAAGACCACTTCAAAAAAAAAAAAAAAAAAAGGCAACATTCACTATTAAAACTGAACCTAGTGTTTTGTACTTAAGGTATTTTGACCATTGAAGCTACAGGCATGGACAATGTTTGTGTGAATTTGAATTTTCACCATCATTTAACATGAACAGAAGCTTTGTAACTGAATCCTTTCATTTTCCAGCTGATTCATGTACATCTTAGGGGCTCAACATCTCACCACTGAGCTAAAAACAAAGTGACTCCAGAGTTGACTTATGTCAATTTCCTAACCTTAAATGCAGTGGTTTGTTTTGGGCAGATTTATGGACAAATGATATATTCATTGTCAAAAGCTTTTTATAAACTACGTAAATACCATTTTATTTGCTCAACATTTGTGAATTAAATGCATTATTTAAACAAGACATTGAAGCAGATAGTGAAATACAGGTGCTGGTCAAATTAGAATATCAAGAAAGTTGATTTCAGTAATTCCATTCAAAACGTGAAACTTGTTACATTCATTCATTACACACATATCTTTCAAATGTTTATTTCTTTTAATGTTGATTACAACTAACTAATGAAAACCCCAAATTCAGTATCTCAGAAAATTAAGTTACTTAAGACCAATTAAAAAAAATTAAAATAAAACAGGATTTTTAGAAATGTCTGTCAACTGAAAAGTATGAACATGAAAAATATGAGTATGTACAGCATTAATACTTAGTTGAGGCTACTTTTGCCTGGATTACTGCAGCAATGCGGCGTGGCATGGAGTCGATCAATCTGTGGCACTGCTCAGGTGTGATGAGAGCCCATGTTGCTCAGATAGTGGCCTTCAGCTCTTTGAATTGTTGGGTCTGGCGTAGCGCCATCTTCCTCTTCACAATACTCCATAGATTTTCTATAGGGTTATGGTCAGGTGAGTTTGCTGGCCAATTAAGAACAGGGATACCATGGTCATTAAACAAGCTACTGGTAGCTTTGACACTGTGTGCAGGTGCCAAATCCTGTTGGAAAATGAAATCTGCATCTCCATAAAGTTGGTCAGCAGCAGGAAGCATGAAGTGCTCCAAAACTTCCTGGTAGATGGCTGCGTTGACCTTGGACCTCAAAACAGTGGATCAACACCAGCAGATGACATGGCAACCCAAACCATCAATGACTGTGGAAACTTGACACCGGACCTCAAGCAACGTGGATTCTGTGCCTCTCTTCATCCAGACTCTGGGACCTTGATTTTTAAAGGAAATGCAACATTTACTTTCATCAGAGAACATAACTTTGGACCACTCGGCAGCAGTCCAGTCCTTTTTGTCTTTAGCCCAGGTGAGACTATTCTGATGCCGTCCCTTGTTCAAGAGTGGTTTGACAAGAAATGCGACAGCTGAACTCCTCGTCTTGCATAAGTCTTTGCGTGGTGGTTCTTGAAGCACCGACTCCAGCTGCAGTCCATTCTTCGTGAATCTCCCCCACATTCTGGAATGGGTTTTGCTTCACCATCCTCTCCAGGGTGCAGTTATCCCTTTTGCTTGTACATTTCATTTTACCACATCATTTCCTTCCCTTCGCCCTTCTATTAATGTGCTTGGCAAAGCTCTGAACAGACAGCCTCTTCAGCAATGGCCTTGTGCAACTTGCCCTCCTTGTGCAAGGTGTCAATGGTCGTATTCTGGACAACTATCAAGCCGCAGTCTTCCCCGTGATTGTGTAGCCTACAGAACTAGACTGAGAAACTATTTAAAAAGGCCTTTGCAGGTGTTTTGAGTTAGCTGATTAGAGTATGTCACCCCGGTGTCTTCAATATTGAACCACAATATTCTAATTTTCTGAGATACTGAATTTGGGGTTTTCATTAGATGTCGGTAATAAAACATTAAAAGAAATCAGTCTGTGTAATGAATGAATATAATATACAAGTTTCACTTTTTGAATGGAATTATTGGGGGGAATTTTTCATGATATTCTAATGTTATGACCAGCACCTCTATACACACCATCTTTAGAGCCTTCTATACATACACTCCATCTTTAGCACTTATAAGCTGTAAAATACACACTTCATCTTTAGAACTCTAAGCTAAAAATATATACTTCATCTTTAAGCTGTACAATATACACAGTTGAAACCAGAAGTTTACATGCACCATTTTAAAAACCATACTGATGTGAAATCAGAATAAACTTTGTTTTAAATCAGTTCGGATTACCCAAAAATTTTTTTGCAAAATGCCAGAATGAGAATTTTTTTAAGGCAATTATTACTTTTTTTAAAGTCAAAAGTTTAAATACACTCAGATTACAATGCCTTTAAACATTTTGGGACATTTGATGTCACGTCTTTGGAACATTCTGGTTTATTGTAACATCTGAGTTAGAGACATAGCTGTGGATGTAATTTAAGGAACACCTGAAACGCACGGTTTCCTTGTGTGACATCATGGGAAGGTCTAAAGAAATCAGCAAACGTATCAGGAAGAGAACTGTGGACTTGCTCAAGTCTGGTTCATCCTTGGGTGCAATTTCCAGATGCCTGAATGTTCATTAAACCTTTATTTAGACCGATAAATCCCATTGAGCCTCGAGGACTCCTTTACAAGAGACCTGATTTCAACAAAGAATGACAACAATGGACAACAGCAACAACAATAGACAGTTATAAAAAGGCAGTTTTTTTTTTTTTTTTTTTTTTTTTTTTTAACAAATGATGGCAAAAAGAGTAAAGCTACATTGTAAGGCAAATGTAGAAAACTAAAAACAGGAACATGTCTGCATTGGTCCTTGCCAGGAGTCCAACAGATTTTTAAAGTCACTTGAGAGGTCAAGGTCGAGAGCTTCAGATCTTTTTGTAAGATATTCCAGGAAATAGGAGCGGAGTAGGAGAAGGCCCTTTTGCCTAGTTTAGTCCTCACTGAGGAAACACTGCAGGTAATAATGTCCTGAGAGCGTACACTGTAGTAATATGCCTTGTTCATCTGTACAAACAATTATACGCAAGTACAAACAAGATGGGAATGTCTAGCCATAATACTGCTCAGGAAGGAGACTGGTTCTATGTCCCAAAGATGAACATGCTTTGGTCCAAAATATGCACATCAACCCAAGAACAAAAGCAAAAGACCAGGTGAACATGCTGGCTAAAGCTGGTAAGTGCGTGTCATTATCCACAGTGAAACGAGTACCGTATAGACATGGGCTGAAAGGTGTAAAGCGAAACAAATTACTCTCATCTTCTCCCCTGCCTGGATCGTTGGCACGGAAGGAACAAACGTTTGTCAGAATTAAACAGCTTTATTTTTACAGACTTCAAATAGGATGGCAAAAAAAAGTAACAAAAACTGCTAGATTATAAGGCAAATGTAGAAAAACTAAAAAAACGGGAACATGTCTGCATTGGTTGGCTACATGGCTCAGTTACACCAGTTCTGTCAGGAGGAATGGGCCAAAATTCTTGCCAACTTTTGTGAGAAGCTTGTGGAAGGCTATCCAAAATGTTTGACCCAAGTCATACAGATTAAGGGCAATGGTACCATATTCAAACTTTTGACTCTAAAGAAAGTTTGAAAAATTGCTTTAAAATTTTTACTCATTCTGGCATTTTGCAAATTTAAATTTTTTTTTTGGTAAGACTAAAAGACCTAACTAAAAAGTTTATTCTGATTTCATATCAGACACTGAAAAAAATGTATACATGTCTTAAAATAGTTTATGTAAACTTCTGGTTTCAACTGTATACTTCAATCTTTAGAGCTAAGCTGTATAATATACATGATTCATATTTAGAGCTTCTAATCTGTAAAATACACATTTCATTTTAGAACTATGCTGTAATATACATCAAATCTTTAGAGCTTCTAAGC